GTGGTTAAAACAATAAAAAGAATCTGTTTGCTTGAATGCAACGACGATCAGTGACAACCTAAAGTGAATTGCATTTCTCATCTCACGTCGTGCTATCCGACAAAATGGAAATGCATCCGATCGAAATCATTCTTTACCTGTATTGCATTTTTTCCACTGATATTACATCGCAATCGATGCGTGCGGATTATTGACAAAACTGGAAAAATAACAAATGCAACAAACAAATAACAGTTTTGACCAGAATCGGGAGTTGATTGTTATTCGAATAATCCGATTTTTCTTTGTTCTTTTTTTTTAACCTGCGATAAAAGTCAACGCACACGATTACATGAATTCCAGATGAACGAATAAATATTCAAATCATTTATTTTTCAATTACATTACTCAAACAATATTAGCAATACTGAAGGGACTGGCGAATGAAGTAAGGGATATGTTTAAATAATCGGTTCAGTGAAAGTTCAGCATTCAGTCCCAACTATTAATATGAGTGAAAAATGACATTTTTACCTTTATTTGTTTCAAACAAAATATAAATTTAGCTTTTTCTGTTGCACCCTTATATATTGTGTGTACTGTTTAAACATTCATATTGATCGACAGAAGTGAATATAATTTTCTAAGTAATATTTCAATAAAAATGTTTATTTTCCTATGGAAATGTAACTTGAAAGGTTCATATTAATTTAATCATTTACTGAATAGAATGATCAGCCACTAATAAATTGATTAAAACCTGCAACATTTTAAGCTAAAATATCTTGCAAAAACCACGTGTATTCCAAACGTCATTTACTTTTTTCGAATATAAAATACTTACATTCTGTTTTTCTATTATCGATCGTTAACACGTTGACTGCCACGCAAATTTTTAGCGTATAATATTACTCGCTTCTTCACAGTAAAGACAAATGATATTCGAATTACTATATTAGAATTAATTATTAGCATTTTCTAATATTTAACATTTATATAAAACATTAATATACAATAATATTCGTCACAATATTAGGCACCACAGTTCTTGTGTTACACAATTATCTAACTATTTACTAAATCTTTTCATTCAACGTTGATTTATTATGACAACTGTTTTCAAGAAATTTTTAAGGTCATCGGTGACCATATCAAATTCTTTTCTTCTTCTAATGAATAACTAACCAGTTAACTGCATTAGACGACTATAAGCGTCGTCTTGAAATCAAAATGACACTAATTTCTTCAACGATCATTTCATTCATTTGTTCAGATAAACATGTAATTCTTCTTCGTCCCGCTTTAGTTTTTCGTTAGAATATATTATAGGTATATTTCGCCTACGTTTCACGAATATACACATCATTATTTCATTTATTGCGAGTATTATCAGAGATTTTTCAAATGAAATCCCACAGTTCACAGGTTACGGATATAGTAGTTTTATCAAGCATTCTCGTGAAAGAGATCATGGGACAAGGGGTTAAAGGGACGCTTGAAGAATCACATTGGATCCGAGGAGAATGATCGCTTGCATACAACCCTAGCGGGTTTCATTGTCATTTCCAGACATTGCTGTTGAATTTTATGGCCGTACAACGGTAGCATTTGACATATCGGTCGGTGCTCATCCTTTATTCGTGGAGCAGGAGATGAATCTACCGGAACCGATAGTTCGGAACTACTGATCGTTCACTTACGTCAAAGTTCACGGAGTATATAATCAAATTTCAATCGTGAGCTATTACGAAATTTATAATTAATTAGAAGCAAACACTGACTCGCGATCCATTGCTATTCCAAAGCAATTGCCGGGGCTTATCGTGTCGCATTTAGAAAACAATTACGTAATTTATAGGACTTTGAGGTAGTAATCAAGCTTTGCTTAATGAATTTTCCGCGTAGCACTGGGAATGCCCTCCAATTAAACGGAAAAAGGCGAAATTGACAAACTCCCGCCGCTACGAGATAATTTATACATTTTGGTTATTCAGAATCCTAATTTACGTCGTTACACCAAAATAATTTTCTTCGCAGAACTTCATGAAATTTTGTAATTAGGCGATCCACTTCTCAAATGTATAAATATTGAATTTAAATATTTACAGTGACTCACGAAAGTATTTGAGCACTTACCATGACATACTTTATTAATTATAATAAGTATATTATACAACTTTTACCGAAATATTATAAACATTGTAAGGATGTATGACTCTCTAGATTATATAGGTAAAGTTTGAAGAAAATCGAAAGATATATACAATAGTTATGAATTATTTCTTATAAACATAAAGATTGCCAAAGCCACAAATTTATAATTATTTTATTCCATTCTTCTCGATGATTTTCTTCTTAATGAATCATTTTAAGCGTTCATACAGAAGTAATGAATTTTCCAAGAAACAGATGAAAGATAGTTCGTTAAAGACTTTAAGTCGCAGATTATTAGTTAATTAAACGCTCGATCCGCAAGAAAATGTTATCTAACATTTATCACGCGATTGAGACGGATGAGATCTCCTGCGTCTTCGGAGACAGAGAGAAATGGTGGAAGAAAGGTTCTATTTTTCTTGAAACTTCCGAAAACAAAAGTATTAGAGACCATTACTCAAGGCAGAGAATTAATATGCTATAATATTGTAATAGTATAAAAATGCAGCGGTTGTTGCGGCAACGTCTACCCAAAGGAAATGTCACGATCAATCATAACGAGGAAGCGCATTTAGTTCCACGAATTGAAAAAAGTTCTGTGCGATAAAAACGATTAATTACAGATAGCGTCCTTCTAAAAATGAATTCTACTATTTCCAAGTGAAATACGGCTAGTCCAGTTCGTTTCGTTCGTCGAATTCGAACTTTTAAATGTTCTTGCCTTTTACCATTTTTCTATTTAAAAAAAAAACATTTTTTAATAAACAAATTATATGTTGGATTCCATGAATTTATCTGATTAAAAATGGGTACAAAACGTTTCCTTTAATTTTAGGAAAACTGTAAAGCTGTAATCATCAATACATCGATGCATACACACAGGAATACAATCATCGAAAAACAAATCAGACTAATTCTTAATATTCATGCTTACACTTACACCTACGTAAAACAGCATTTCCAACGGTATCGCATGCTTGGATCTAAGGAAAAACCAAATATTTGGAATTCAAAAGGCAAATATCTACACCGACGTTCGAAATTGTGGGATGACTTCCAATATTTACAACTCACGAAAGAAAATAAACTGCAAAGCGATACGATTTGCTGTTAATTACTTTCGATGAGTTTATTACAAATTGTTTTTCTACTGGACCTCTTTACTTCTACTTCATTTTAACAGACAGTAGTATTTAATTGTTTTGTTTCAATGATTTATACATCTCAACCAGTGTTATATACTATAGAATTTTTCCATTTGGAACATTGCATCGTAAGAGACACTACGCTCTATATCTTCATCGGATAATTAGCTTCAGCAATATTCTCGTTAAGAAGAAAGTGAATTGTTTCAACGGAAACGAGGTAGAACGCTCTAAAGCGATAACTTCAAATAACTGCATATCAATAATAGTATTCTTCTCTATAGCAACATATGCTAATTTAAAATCCGTTCACATTTTTCCAATAAAAAACTCAAATTCCTATCACCCACAGCGATTTCAAACATTCCATCGTTAATGTACACCGAGAAGAGTTTACCACACTCACTCGACGTTCGTAATATCAATTAGAAATCAATACCCGGTCTATTCCGTAGGATTTAAACGTGCCAATATTCGACTAATTGTTAGAGGATATTGTTCTCGTAATAATCTCGGACGAATTCGCGTTAATTTCCCCTCACAAACTTTTCCAACCCCTTCGTATATAAAAACGACGGCCCAGAATTTCCAACGATATCGCTAAAGATCAATCGAAACAATTCTGTTCGAAGTAAATCGAATCTAAAAGCCTACATATATGTATTCATATATCAATTGAAGTTAATTAAAGATTGACGTTCAGCCTGGTGAAACAATTCAATTGGAATTTCTATAATGAATTGAAAATAATCTATAATGAATCGTACAAATTTCACAATTGAAATATTAATTGCGAAATTGTATAACGTCGTCTAACAGCCATCTACTAAGTGACACTCTACTTCTACTCGAAACATGTGTAACAAGACCGCGACATGACTACAGCGGACGAAATGGAAAATAGTAAATGGCAAGATCCGATCTCAGCGGCACTAAAATCATTAACCGTCTCAACGTCCTGATTTATACACTCCATTAAACGACCCCGAGCCGATGTTCCGGACATGTGGTTTCCTGTTGTTTTCATTGTAGCACGGCCGAGGTTCATTCGAACGTCTGATAAATCTACTCCCGCCGGATTCGTTGTTATAGGAATGCCCGTCTCCCACCGTGCACAGCAGCGAAACGGCAAAACACTCGCCCCTCTCTCCCATTGTCAAAAAAAGAAAAAAAAAGGTAAATATTCAAAACGAGCAGCGTCAACGTCACACTTATCAAAGCGTCGCTAAAGAAACAAAAAAGGAACGAACAAAAACAGGCGAAACAGAAACAGCGAAACGCTGAAATAAAGACAGAAAGACAGACAGGCAGACAGACAGACAGACAGAAAAGGAAGAAAAACAAAATTCACTCGCGCTCCGGCGGCCCGATTAAAAAGCACTCGTGAAATTAATTAGCCGTTAACTCGAGAGCCGCGACAAACGGCACACGAAATGGAAATTCGCTTAAGCGACTTTCAACATTCCCAGCCGCCTCGATCAAACACTCGATCGATTGAAACGTACGCGACTCCTCCGACACCGTTCGTGAACCATGAGAATTGATCCTAAGATCAAAACGATCAGACACCTTCGAGTTCGACATTAAAAGGAAAGGAACAGCGAGTAACATGAAAGTAACGAGAAGCGATCAAGGAATCGTTTGATATCGGGCCGGCAAAACGTGGGCTCGTTCGTCGACGGCAGAGAGTAAAAGCCAACGTATACTTTGTGGAATATTTACTATTTTCCATCGCGACGGATTGGTCCGTCGGTACGAATTCCGGAGGAGGGGGGATACGATTTCCGGCGGAGGTCCAGGACACCTCGGTCACGGGCCACACTACAGGCGGAATGTAGGAAAGAGCGAGCAGCTACTATGAAATATGGAGGTTTCTTTCGTCGTGAACGTACGCTGATCGTACAGGATGCCGACGTTGCTGCTGACGTTGGCGGTGTCCTATCGTTCGGGAGGGTAACCTAAGGAAAGCTGCTCGTTTCTTTTTTTTCCTTTCGTTCCTTTTATCTATCCTTCTATCCCCGTTCGTCCGTGTTTCTCCCCTCGTTTCCCTCTACGTTATCCACTTTCGCTTGCGCCAGCTCGGACTCCGTCACTCTGAACGCACTGTCTATCTCCCCCTTTCAGCGGCCGGTCCGGTCCGTTCGTTGCCCGTCACTGGAACGCGGGGAACAACATAGCGGTGGGTCTCGTCTCATTCGCGAAAACCGTTCCCCGACGAGAAGCGGAAAACCGACGGAAAAAGGGTGGGACGACGGACGCGACACCGGTACCACGGGGTGGACTGAAGTCCCTACGAGTGCCGATCAGACTCTTATAGCCCGGCGTTGGAGCGCAAGCGCCCGTCGAACCCCGCCGCCTAGGGATGGGCCGGCACATTTCGAAAAGAGGTGTTGATCCTCTCTCCTCTCGACCGATCGACTTTTCATCGCGGGATGAGCCACGAAGACGGCCCTCGATAATCTAGCGAACCCGGACGACGCGGCGCGACCCGACGTGACGCTTTTCTCATATTTTCCCATCGGCCAGCCGCGAATAACTGGCAGGACCCACGCACGCGTTTCCTTGGGATAGAGCTTCCGGGAATATTGCGCGACGGGGATAGGCGCTCTTCTATATCGTCGGGCGTCATTGTGGACAGTCGGGGATGCGGATGATATTCTTGATAAGGGAAGGGTGGCTGGGTGTTTTGTAAGATTGTGTTTGAGTTTTTGGTGATTTGCGATGGAATTAATTGTTGATAGTGGGACTAATGAGTTGTATCTCTTTTCTGAAAATTTAATAGTATTTCTAGCGAAGTTGTGAAAAAACAGACTTTTGATACTTTAATTTAAAACCACTTTCGCAGTTTAATCTTTTTTTCTGTAATGGATTTTGGACATTTTCTATAGTTAATTTTATAATCGTTATTGGAAAAGTTGAAGAGTTAATTCAGAATGTACTGTGTGGATGATATTCTTGATAGGGTAAAGGTTGGCTGGGGTTTTGGTAAGATTGCGTTCGAGGTTTTAGTGATTTGCGATGGAATTAATTGTTGATAGGACTAATGAGGAGTTGTATCTCTTTCTTGAAAATTTAATAGTATTTCTAGCGAAGGTGTCGAAAGATACCTTTTTATATTTTAACTTAAAATTATTTTCCCAGTTTAGTCGTATATTCTGAATTGACTTTTCGACTTTTCTAATAACGATTAGAAAATGAACTATAGGAAATGTCAGAAATTCAATTGGGAGAAAATAATTTTAAGTTAAAGTAGAAATAGTGTTAAAGATCAATATGAGTTTTCGTAATGTATGTAAATGCAAATATGTATATACTAAATTTATTTTCGGAATAAGGAACAATGAAGAATTTGATAATGAAATTTTATTCAATATACTTTTTAAGAAACAATAAAAAATCTTGAAGAAAATTAACGTATACTATAATAATAATAATAATATGTTGAGCGAATAATAATAACAACAGGTTACTGATAAACATATCGTAAAGTCGAATTTTCCATTCAGATAACATACAGGAGTCATAAATCCATATCGCAAAGTCCTAGAAAATATACAATGCACATAACTTTCTGTACGTATAAAATGACGCGAACTATGTCGGTAGTAACTATAGCTATAGATTTTAAAATGTCGTAAAACTGTGTCAGTGGTTGTGAATGTGTTAATAATCTATCCGTGGAAAATACAAAAATTTAGGTTATGAGCTGAACACGCGTTACAGAAATACATAAATACGAATTATTATTCGGAAATATTTATTTGAATAGGATAAGTAAAATATCTATTTTCTACATTAACCAGTTCAAAAGTTTTGCAACGTTTTTTCTGTTACATTCTCTAAGATGTTTATATTACATACACGAAGTGATTAAATAACATTATTATTATATCAATCCACATTTTATTTACTCTGTTAAATTTAATCGATTATTTGTAAATGGAGTAAAATCATGAAAAGGAATCATCGCTCCCTTACTGATATTCCATTTGTTTACCAATATTAGTATGATAATGAGTGTGCTCAGTAGCGTCATGAAATGTAAACAGTTTGGAACTAATCAACCACTGTCCTAATATAGACGTTTAGTTCATATCAAATATTTATCAGTATTATTAGACTGCGGAAGATAATGCAAATTGAAATTTTTACAAACAGACATCATGATCTCATGTTTCCAACTCATTTATATTTTGTAATAACTAAATCCAAGAAACTCGTGTTAATGAAATGAACCTAAGAAAAACATCATCGTCTTTATCAAAATCTTTTTAATTTTAACTAGTATACGAAATGAAACTTATGAAACATCTGAAAGCTTTATCTTTATTTCGAATATTGAAATTTATAAATTTATAATTATACATACAATTTCATTAAGATCCAAGTTTCATCATAATTTTCGCACAATTATTAAAATATTGAATACTATTTCATGAATGTTTCTTTTTTATAAATTATCCATTAAATTTTAGTACCATTATATTAAAATAAATATACCGCAAGTTTGTGTTCCATTGTAATACGAATTCACCAGTGTAGATTGTTTCTCGACGAATCCAATTGTTTACAAACTAAACGTTCCTTGTAAGAGAGACGGTTGAAAGGAACCGCGTTCAGTGCTGCTGTAGACGAGCAGTGGTAGTAATAGCCCCTCAACGGCTGTCGGAGGCCAAAACTCAAGTATAGGTGACCTTACTGATGAGTCTATCAGCAGGACAACATCCCCTTTCCTTTTCGCTTCTTCTTTTCCAGTATTCTTCTCACGTTTCTCAACTGCCCCGCTGCTACAGCATTAATACCACTTGCATTTCTAAATAATTTACACTGTAAAGAAAGAATGGCAATATAATAGTTCATGCAATAACATAAAACTGATTACAGTCTAACAATGGCACGATCTAAATATAAATTACTTGTTGAATAATATTACTAACAAATAACTTGTATATTAGTAATTACATATAGTCGTATATTATAATTGTTAATCCTTATGTATTATAAATATTACATCTTAGAAAATACAATTTCATACTCTGTTTATGACATCGAAGACATTGACAGTAAAAATGGTAATAATAGTCAAATAAAATGCTATACTACCGTTTTAATTTGATATCAGGGTACTCAGATCAGTGCCACCGCCCGTAAGAACGTTAAGATGCTATCAAAACGCAGTAAACGTTGGCTGACGGAGATTTAAACATAGCTAGATCGAATGGATCAAGATTGAATCGAACGAAAAGGGGTATGTGATTTCTTGAGTCCTTTACTTCCTTTTTATTATTACGAGATATTATCATCTAGAGGTCAAAGGATACTCTTCTCCTTGTTTTTTCTAATTGAGAAGTTATTTGAAAGATTTTTGGTAAAATTTATTCATATAAAATTTTGAAACTTTCTGTTGTTTGCCCATTTTAAAGTAACTTCTCAATTATGTACACTTTGGTAATCATAAATACTCGTTCTATAGTTTTGGAGTTATGAAACATGAGAATATGTTTCTGAAATGTTTACGTTTGCTGAAACATGCGACAAATTCTGTAGAAAGGAAATTCTAACGGGGAATGTTCTATACTGCCAGGCAGACTTTTCAAAGAGCCTTTGACGAATTGTTGCACGCGGAGTGCTAAATGCGTTGGTATCTCCTTTTGGAATCTAACGATTAACAATATGCAGAATACAGTGAACAGTGAAATCTTCTGTCATATCAATTAGTAATTAATTATTAAAGCAATTATTAATTAATCGTACCAATATTTGTTTGTAGTACAATTCACCTAAATAAGGAAAGTATTGATCAAATAATTGAGTGTTTCATCGTAGAAATAACATTTTATTACATTTTTATATCAATTATACTAATTTTTTTCAAAATAATCAGGTTAAATTGTTTAGTTTGTTCTTTTATTAGCTTTAATAACTTTTTTACGTTATTGACAAAATTAATCCTTAAATCATTCTACATTGTTAAGGTTAAAGTATTAATACTATTCACAGAAACAATTTTACGATAGCCTGGAAACACGATGTCAATTATGTTATTGAAATATACTTTTCTTCCAGCCACAATTTTCAAGATGTAAACTTAATGTAATCATTAAGAACTATATTAAAATTCTGATGAATAATAAATGTATTATTCTCTGAGGGAAGTAAGTTGATACATATATCTAATGAAACTGTCTCATACGAATCTTCGTTTCCAAGAAAATCGGTTTTGAAAGTTTGTCTAACACGCATGCATTATATACCATCTGAAAGAAGTGGAAGTGGAAAGCCATAGATAGACATGCTAGCCAGTTGCCAAACAGAAACACTGTAATGGTATAGAAGTAAAAGAAAAAAAAGCAGTTTAAAGCGAGATAACATATTAAAACTTCGGAATACCAACATCAAAGAACGTTGTTGCGTGTATTTCACTTATTTTTCATGTAAAACTGTTGCTCGAATAGTTCTATCGTAATTTTAGAAACAGCTTGCATACTTACGTAGGTATATACCTGACCGTTATAGCATGTACTGGAGATGACATACAATGCAACAACGGTTGTGCAGTAACAGGACCTTGTCTCGTGATTAGACTCTGTTTTCACTGGCGGACGTTTTATAATTCTGTGGATTATAATGTTAATCCTGAATTCCACAGGTAGGTTGTTCCGTCCCAGAATATACAAGAAGTCTCGTAACTGGCAGTTCAGCTGGAAATAATGTAAATAATATGCATGAAGAAATAAGTCGAGGAGATAGAATAACATTTTCTCATTTGAGACCTCGTTCTAATAAAAACGAAGCTCGAATGTCTGCCTAGTAAATAGTGTACTTAGGTGACTTCTGATTAAATATGATTAATATAATCGACATTTTAGAGAAAGTGACGGATGTACAGTAAAATCCTTTTCTTTTAACAGTGTCTCTGTAAAATTCAAATTTCAAATTGTTTTATCAACAAGTAATCAGTTACAGATAAGTTTGATATATTTTCAGACAGGGATTTGGTAAAAAGGGAACTTCAAATGAAATTATTTAAACATAATATTAATGTTTAATATAATTAATTGGATTCGTATTAAAATAAAGTAGTAAATGTTCTATGTAGTCTTAATTTGTAATTTCTATTCTATGTTTATTAACATTTGATATTATATTGGTTGTTTGATATTGAATATAATTAATATTATACATAATTAACATTAATGTACTGATTACTATTGTATAATACAGTGTTCTATGGCTTGATTTATTTATTTTTCGAGTTCTATAAATTATAAAACACCTTGTAGGATGATATTCTTTAAAATATTCATAAGCAGATTCATTACAGAGACGATGTGAACTCCCAATTCTCAGGATCATTTCAAACAAGCGGCGTACCGGATGTTGACAAATTAGCTGTGGAATTGGGACCTGGAAGATAATTTCTCACGCCACACGTTTAAGCAAACACATGCTCATTCAACGACTTGGTTCCTAAACCTCAGTAGCAATTTCCGTGTCATAAATCTCAAGATACAACAGTCATCAATGGATCCACTGCTTCTAGATGTTATTTTTAAGTATGAAAATGACACGATAAAAGCGAAGTTGATACATATGTAAAATATATTAGTAATTTTATTTACAGGTTTTACTCAATTATTACTGCTTTCATAAGATACGGCATCTCCGGCAATAATTTACAATTATTGCTCTGGTATTGGTGGCAAATCAATTTCCAAAATTAAATTTATAACAGATGAGACTTTGAAAGGTTCGACGATAGAAATTATACAATATTATATGAATGTACCATAACGAATATATTTTTCGAAATGAAATAAACTATAATTCGAAACGGTTAATTCAGTAATAATAGATTGAACATTTGAAATGTAAAACATGTAAAAGATTGATTCAAGTAAACTGTTTCTTCGGAGATCAAATAGTATGTGCAGATAAATTATAAAAAGACGTTCGAATGAAACTAAATAATCTCTTTGATGTACCTTCCTTCTAGATTTATGTGGATTACATTGTATCTTAATTTTAAAAAGGTAATTAGTTGCTATTATTTTGTCCTTATCTATTCATTCAGTTAATTGATACTTAATACATCTAGGAAACTGTAAAAGTGTCAATTGAGTTCCATGAATTTACTAGAAGTCACCATGAACATAAAAAAGTTCCAAAAAATGAGTCACCCTGCGAAAGGGATGATAATATAAAACTAAGAACAGGATGGAAATTAAACTTCGAAATCCCAGCAAAAAGTTGTCATCTGGCTGCGGGAAAATTTAAAGAAAATAAAGATGAATCGTAAAGCTGGGATCCAGAAAGTTCCATCGAAGTACGAAAATGAAATTGGGGAAAAAAGTTAGCCATGAAACAGCTAGCGGTGCTTTAAAGAAATATGGATACAATTTCAAAGTCGCCGGAAAGAAGCCGTACGCTTCATCGGCGAAGCAAACATTTGCAGATGAATACGCGAAATAGATGAATAAATTTTAGAAAACCAAACGGAAAGCTTCAGTAACAAAAACGCGTGCACTGAAATCGCGGTGTATTAAAAGATTGACCGATGAATTTTCATCACGCCAAAAAAATGATACACTCCATACATCGAACGCTTTCATTAGTTCCATAAAAACAGCTAAAAGATAGCGTGTTATAAAAATCAATTTTATTCCGGCCTGTCCTGTGTTGAAAACTACATGATTGTAAAATATTTTTAAAACCGTGGAATAGAAATTTTACAGAGGGAATGAACGTACAAAAATGTAAAAAATGATTTGTTAGCCTATGTGCATAATTGTAACAATTTTTCTATTATAGTTAGAAATTATAGTAAACTATAACAGTAAATTTATCACATAGAATTGACACGAATAGCAAGTTTCCGAAGTACACTATCATTTGGAATTCTTAATGTCCCACGAAATATTGCAGCTACTGCAACTGCAACACTTTTACGACCTTCATTAACGTTACAAACGTGACGTATATATCCTTATAGTACTTATAAACACTCTACTTTAACTAGAACACAAACAGAAGTTCTACCAGTAGAATTTCCTAAAAGACATCTCCCTGATCGTAAGGACTCGATGGTACTAAAAACAAACTTTTTTTGTTCGGAAACTGTTAACTAAAGAACCTTAGTTACTTCGTATTTTATAACTCTAAATCGATCCCTTCCACGCGCATTATATTACTATAGTAAAACAACATTATTACTAAATCTGTTGCTTTTTCACACAAAATCTAGTCCAACATTGATCTTGTGCAACTATAATCACCACATCTCACTTTACAAGCGCTAAGTATAGCTGCACTGCATAAAGTATGAAACTCTTTAGTTAACCATCCATTATACTATGAAATAAATCTACACATAAAAATCTTTGTTAAATATGTTTCTCATATCTTTGTCTAGTAAATGTTTAAAGTTATATAAAATTCTAAGGTTACATAGTTTAGGAACTACGAGATAGAAGTATACTGTTGGAAAGTGGTGAGTGTTACTAGAAACATTAATTTATTTATAACATTCGCTTACTACACAGCTGTTTAGCGGTTCACACTGCTTTGTATCATTGAACGTATCATTATTTTTAATGATAATGCTAATGGAACTTATGATACCAGATGCTTCCCTTTTCGAGACGCCCTAGCTTCTGCAAACACTGTTTGTTGAGGTAGATTCAATCTAATATCGTTCATAGTGTAAGGGACACTCAGTTTTTCCTGGTCTACCGGTGAAAAGAGGTCGGCCATGTGGCACACACTGGTCCGAAACCGTAAAAACGCAAACTAAATTCAAATTTTCGATCCGGATGGAAATCCATGGAACTTTATGTGTTGATTCTTGTATCTAGAGATTAAATTGTGACATGTATATAATAGACACGTGTACATAACATACGTTGCCACAAGTTCTCTAAAATTTATCATGAAAACGCTTCGTAAACGAAAAAACACGTCTGTTTCAAAACGAACATGTTAATGATTTTGTGACAGAATATTTTTCAACTATAAACATGAATTTTCGAGTGAAAGAAATAATTAGTTGAAGAGAACAGATTCTTATATTCGAACATATGAATTGGACACCATGTTTTATGTATTATTTATCTATTAACGATTTGTATACTGAAGGATTGCAATTCAATAGCAGCCTCCAGTTAATCTTCTTCAGTATTAGCCCTTATGTGATGACACTTCGAGTTGGCTGGCAATATAGCAGACAGCCGAATTGAGATACGGATAACAAAGTCTTCAAGCTCGCTACTAATGATCCTGCAAGCGACAGACCGCTTTTCCGCTGTGACAAGCAATTTCGACGGATTTTTTACCGTACAAAAGGTATCGCTTCCCGAACCACTTGTACAGATATCAAAAAGTTATTCCGTTTGTTCGAAATTTAAAAGAAAACGCTATAAAAGGGGATTCGAGCGTTCAGAAGTTAACTGCAGAACTATTAGCTCAACGCTTTAATTTGTGATCTTGAGGTATAAGATGGTAAGCTGGATGAGCTTTAACTTTTGACGACATCATGTGCCGTCATAGGTATCGCGGCAGCTTTAGGAACGGTACTGTTGGATGGGTTCAGATATTCCATATCAGTTGAGAAAACTCCCAAGAGCAAAATTCCTTGCTGCCAGGAGATTCAAGCGAGTCTTCCAATACCTTACTCGAATGAACATTGAAAGGGGACTCATAGTGTAAATACAGTAACCTTTTAAACGCGTGAAATGCGACCGCCGAAATTTTGACAGAAAATCATGTCTGAATGTAAAATAAACGTATACATGTGAAAATAATTAGAAATACCTGTGAAAAATAAATAAACTTGAATGAAGACATTTTTGGTCAAAATAAATTCGAAATAACACTCTTGCCAACAGTAGTTTCATGTACCGTGTACCGCATTTTCTGTTGATGTTTTCCTTTCTTATACGTATATGTCATCCGTATTGAAAATACGAAAAAGTGTGTGGCCAGATGACGGGGTCGAAAGTGCTCTTAAATCAAACTGGAAATGCGAAATATAATTCGATAGTTCGCTAAAAATAAGTATTCTGTATCAATCTTCAACAAAATAAGGGATTTTAGAACTTGATTCTTTTAATGCAAAAATTCATGAATGCTATTGTAGTTAACAGGATATGTAGCTATAGGAATGATTGAATATAGAGTTCTCCAAAGTTATTTTCATTCATATTCTGTGGATCGAAACGGTTATAAAATGTTTTTAAGATATTACCAAATAAAATTCGATAAGTTTTATTTTAATAAAAGCGTAAATGTACAATTAATACAGAATGATAAAAAGTTTATTAGAAGCTCAAAGCACATCCAAAATATTACCAACTGCTCTGCAGTGAACTTTGTACCGACCAGGCTTTAAAGATAGGGTAGGTACATCAGAATTTAACGCGCATGGTACAGTGAAATTGATTTTTTATTTTTTAGACGTTTTTTTCAAAAGAAATTGTAAATATTCGAGAGTAATAATTATAGCGAGATATCGTTACTAATACAAATAATATTGCTTCAACTACAATTTGAAAAAAAAGAGTTAAAACATTCTTTAATATACGTGAAAATATTTACGAGTTAAAACTTGGTGGAAAATTAATGTCCTGTTAATAGATATATCGCTATTTTATTTACAAATGACTTTACATCCCACATTCGTTCGTATTCTTTTACCTTGGTTTATCTTTCCCAATTTTTAATATTAAATATATTCTATGCATTCGAATGTTCACTAGCAATATACAAAAACTTAAATAAATTACTATTAAGTATAATGTATGGACTCTTTATCAATATAACCCCGAGAAAACACAAACTTATTATTAATCAAATGAAATTTAAATGTGTGCATAGAAATGGCCGATAAAAACAAATTATATTAATAATACACGTTAAACTATTGTTACAAAATGCAAAATATTATTTCTAAATATCATTCAATTAAAAAGGTGCACTTTAATAAATAATACATAAATACTAAAACAGGATTATAAACAAAATTTCATTACTATGTATAAATTTATATATACTTGTTTGTATACTTACATTTGAATTTTTATTATTATATAATATATTCTTTATATGAATTTTTCGCATTATATAAATTTTATATTTACTTAATTATTTAATATTTATTTTATTATAAAATTTCTATACAACATTAGATGTCGTCTCAGTATCATAAGATTGCGCCACTGTACAAACGTGCAGATACGAGCTCTATCTACAGTTTGGTTAAACTGTTGTTAACTGCTATGTCTCACAAAAAACGCGTCGCTGACCGCGAAGTGTGAAATGCATTTATTTATAAGTGATCGGGAGTGCCGTGGAAGTTTTATTTTATGTGTGTTGCGATATTTAAGATAACAATGAGCTGGGAAATCAGCTGTGCAGATATGTGTCGTGCATGCATGAAGGTCGATGGTGTTCTTCTTCCTATGTATGATGACGACACAATCAGTCAAAAAAATTTGCCCGACAAACTTGCCGAACTGGCATCAATACAGGTTAGTAAGAATGTATTATTTTCATTCTGTATATTCATTTCATGACTGAATCAATATTTTTCTGTTACGATTACACATGTATTGTGTGTCATGCAGATACAACATAACCTCAAACTAATTTTCTCATATACATTAAACGCTCCTTTCATGTTTTTAAGTATGATAATGTAGTGTTCTTTTACAAACATTTATATCTGTTTATGTTCAAATTGTTTTATCTAACACACATTTATAACAGATTTTTAAATTGTCAACAATTGGGATAATGATAAGTAAAGGAATATAGAGATATTCATGCCCTAGATTAATCAATGAAACAAGTATAATAATTATCTATGAACAGATAAGATTTGTTTAGACAGGATAATTACTGCTCAAATGTAGTTTTTAATTAAATAATTTTTAAAACATTTTAAGTACTTTTAATAGTAAGATTTCATGAGTTTTAAAGATATACACTTTATTCTTATAGTAATCAATATTATATTTTATATTTTTTATTCTTCATACTTCAACCAATTGACATACATTTTGTTTATAGATCGACAGGTTTGATGGTCTACCAAATATGTTATGTGCAAAATGTGCTTATCGCACGGATGCATTTTATGACTTTAAGCTGCAAGTTCAAGCCACAGAAAAGAAGCTTCGTAAAATGTTTGAAACACAAATACGTTGGGCCATAAAGGTAAAGAGCAAAAACACTTTTATTTTAAATGTATAGACTGTAAGATTATATAAATAATAATATACATGTTATTCTATGACTAATAATTCTCTGTCAATTATTTTGTTCTACGCATTTATTATATAAGATTTTTCAGTTATTTCTGTTCCGTGTTCACATAGCTATATAATAACTTTGTACATATAATACATCTTCCAATTATGTTTGTTTTAGTATTTTTTTAAATATAATATGTATATAACACATACTTCTACATATACTCATACTATAGTACATTAAATAATAAGCTTATGCCGGTCCAAGAATAATAAAATGCTTTGGACTTAAAAATACTTTTCTTATGTAAGAAACAAATGTTACTTAATAGTGATAACATTGTATGTATTGTATGCTCTTCCTTTGTTCCTATACTTTTAACATTCTTTCATAGCAAAGGCCCACTTGATTTCAGAACAGTTTATTTTTATGTTCTTATTATAATAAATTAATTACTTATTATTGGTGTATTATTGAATTCATAATGAATCATATGTTGTTACAATTTAATCATTTTTTGGTAAATACAACATTAATTTTTGTAATCAGCATATTTTTTATTACACATATATTTGTCATCACAACTTTTTTTATGAAAAATTTTAAAAATTATATCTATATCATTTTGTCGATTTGTATTATAAAATATGCTGTAAAAATTCAGCTAAAGATTAAATACCTTATGAATGGCACGAATTGACAAATATTATATTGATCTCAATCTTTTAAATAATCTCGAAGAAATTTTATTTTAACTATTATAAAAAATTCAAGTTATCGATCCCGATGACGCTTTTACAGTCAGTTCCATATCAGTTCTATCTCGGCACAAATCAATAATGTGTTGATCGCTAACATATTCATTTGCTACTTTCAAACTTTCTCGTAGCTTGTTTACTAAAATATTATTATATTTTAAACCAATAATTAACATATACTTATAATGTCTAACAGTTTCAACGCCTGTAGAATTTATGCAAAAAAACTATTTAAACAACACTTCGGACCGGTATATTTATGTATGACATAGAATCGATTCAGAAAATAAACTACTATACAGAGTCTAGTCATCCGAGTAGATCTTTACCTCAAAATTTCACGAACTGTCCCATTCCTCATTAGGGCCACTAAGGCTAAGTAAAGCTACGCTTTTCAAGAAGTTGTCTCTGTAATCCCTGATCGTTCGAGCGTTCGCCAGTGATGAGCATTCAAGCTATACTAGCGCACTGGGACCTATTCTAGAAATGTTCATACATTTCGAACCGCTAGTTCGAACTTCTGCAAGTATTGATTGTAGTTTCAAGTTGGATAGCAACCTCTAAAGTGTTTAGGCGGTTGGTTTGTACCTCCAGTTGAAAATATGAATGGCTAAAAATAATAAACGAACCGAATAAATTGCGTCGCTGTTTTGTGATCATAAGGGATTTTGTTTTTGGGTTTTTTTGGCTGAACAGATTATAGGAATCAATCAATGGAATAGTAAACAAAGTTTCAAGCAGCTTGCTGTCTCAGAGACTTTGGTATGCAAGTTTAAGCATTCGAATCGATTCGAAGGTTTAAACCAATTCAACCTTTAAGCCCCTTGAAGTGAATCTTGCTTTGGATTCGAACATCAAGCTACTCGGATTGGATCTTGTCGTTTAAGTTCAAACCGTTCGAATTTTTGCGATCCGAAGTGAATACATCGAAGTAACACTCGACTAATTTGATGTAATTGATAGAAACTAATTCTTATTAAAATGTTTGTCATATGTTCGTTTTGTTAGCTAACATTCGTAATGAAGAAGTGAAAAAAGCATCTAAATTGAGGATAAGAAATATATTTAGTTAAATATATCGGAAACTACTAGAATTATAAATTGTACTACATTAGAATTAATTTATTAAAGTAAAACTTTCTAATAAGAAATCCAGCTCTGTAAGAAAATTTTAGAACATTTTGTTTGTGTAAATAAATGTTATACAAAAGTATAAATAAAAATATTTTTTCTTGACAATTTTTCTGCAATGTCTGTAGTTTTCAATTTTACAGAAAATTCTGCGAAAAATGTGTTTTTACAAATGCTATCCTTAAACACAATGACCATTACTTTTTTTACACCCTATACATTGCGTGCGTAATATACTTTACGTGCCGTTCTAACTGACGTATCTTTTACTACAAGGACTTCTTGAAAACGATAAAGATATCAGCTTGTAATAGATAGTTGAAACTGTAAATTGTATGGAAGACTACATGAATCTTCTGTAAAAAATCTAAAACGACTTAATTAAACAACAATTTCCTGCATTTCTTCCCTCTCCTTGTTCTCATCCTTCTATTTATCCTTCCGACCTACATTAAAACGCACATACGCATAAACAATATTACTTATATTCGGCATATATTACCTTTCAGGAAGAGATAATGGTCAACGATGTCGACCAAGACTGTGAAGAGCAAGCAAACGAGTTGCCGGAAGTGAAATTCCTAGACAACAAACCGAACATCAAATGCATCAACGACGCAGTCAATTCGGAGCAATTTCTGGGCGATGAAATAAATATCACCAATAAAGGAGATCACGTGCTGGAAATCGACATGTCTCAGTTGGTGGACGATGCCGGCGAATTCAACAAAGCTGACTTGTCCGAACTAAGAAGTATTCTGATATCAAAACTGCCGGAACCAGAAACTGACCAAGAGAAGCAGATAAAGAGTGAGATACCGAACGAAATTTCAAAAATCCTAGAGTCCCAGCATTTAGACTACACGATAATGTACATACCGGAAGAAGACGTTTCCTTGGAGCACATGCATCCGGAGAACGTTCTTTCCTGCGAAGCAGAGAGTACCATTAAACTAGAAGACGAAAAGAAACTTCTTTCCGGTGACTGCGACGAAGTTTCGAACGATTCACCGGACAACGAAGAATTTCTGAATCCCGTCTACATCGAGGACATGCAAGTCAGCAAAAGGAGCCACGGAAGGCAGCCCTGGGAGTCCCCTATCCTAGAGAAAACTCCTAGACAAAAAGTAAACGGTAGAAGCAAGCAGAAAGTCTCGCTAGAATCAAAACCGCAGGCGGAGAGCGACGACTCGGACTCTGACTATTTCGTTGATCCCAAAGACAATATACTGGGTAGCTTAAACGACACGATCACCAGAATAAAAGAGATCAAGCTCGAGGACAACACGATACAGTACCAGTGTACCTTATGTTTACAGAACTACGACAAGCTAACCGGAGTGTTGTTGCACACTATAGACAACCACGTACCGAGCAGCGGGCCATTCTTCTGCGTGGTTTGCGAGAAAGACTGCGAGAGTCACAGAGAGCTGCGTGCGCACGTGAAGACGCACACGGGCCAGTTCCCGTACACTTGTTTCATATGCAACAAGGCATACACAATGAAGAGGTACCTAAAGAGGCACATGGTGTGTCACACGGACTTCCCAAGACACAGGTGTCCTAAGTGCGGGCTGCGGTTTATGGTCAAGTCCGAGTTAGAGTCACACATTTCCACGCACATTCGCGGAGCGCCTTATGCTTGCAGCCAGTGCCCCAGGTTGTTCAACCACAAGGGGAACTATAAGCGACATCTGATCAGTCACTTAGACCCGCAAGGTCTCCATCTACCCAAGTACCCTTGCAAGGTCTGCGGCAAAAGATTCCTGAACAATCGCACTCTGGAGACCCACATGCGCGTTCACACCGGCGAAAAGCCGTTCAAGTGTGACGTATGCGGCCGGTCCTTCTCACAGCAAGGGAATCTGCTGAACCACGTCAGAATCCACTCGAACCCGCGCAGTTACACTTGCGAAGTCTGCGGGAAGAGGTTTAATCAGAGAGCCACCTTGAGGGATCATAGTCTTCTTCACACCGGGGAGAAACCGTACGTCTGTAACGTTTGCGGGATTGCTTTCACCTTCAGCGCAGCGTTGAGACGTCACATGTGGACCCACACCGGTGGCAAACCATTCGGCTGTGAAATCTGCGACGCTCGTTTCGTCGGGAAGTACGACTTGAGGAGGCACATGAGGATACACACGGACAGGCCCAGGACGAAACGGAGGAAAAATACGAGTAAATCGAACGACGCCGAGGAGAAGGACAAGGAAGAGAGCATCGCTATCTCTGAGCACCCGGATACGGAGACAGTCCTCATCGAACAGGTCCTCTTGACCCAGGACGTGACGCAAGTCGTCAGGCAGCAAGAGTCCGAGAAGGAAAACGTCGACGCTTTGTTTAATCTAATACAGTACGGTTAATGTTATTCATGCTGGTATCTTTGATCGTATGCACACAAGCACTGGCTTTTATTTATAAACGCTTTCCCTTTTTTTACAATCACGTCAATTAAATTGAAACGAACGAGAGATTGTAACGGGACACCGTTCACCGTCTTAGGGAGCGCCACAGTTGACGCGTCTTCGATTGTTAGGTCGCGAAACGAGTGTATACGGTTCGAGGAGTGATCGGAGAAGATCCGGCAGTGACTAATTAGCGAGACATGTAAACTACTTAGGCAAAACTTCGTGAGTTTCAGAGATGTTAGGAAGTAAAAGACACGCGTACTTGTTTTTAATTTAGAGTCGGTCCACACGCCTGATGAATATGGATACTCATCCGGATCTTGGAGAATGTCTCCAGTTATATTCTCCACTCGAGGATCTTTGCAGATTTGTTGTTTCTTTGGGCGTAGGGGTGAGAGCATTTGGATTTGTTAGAAGATTCGTCTAGCTGATCATAGAAGGACTTTTTAAGGACTTTTGAGAAAATATTGATTCGACGCAATCTAGTGGAACTGAGTGCAACTTCAGTGGTATTGAACGTATCACGAAATAGTATAGACACAAAAGTGTTGTTTTTCGTTCACAGTGGAAGACTGTGATACATAGGTAATTCTGGTGAATGATAATATGGAAAAATTGTTTCGGAATTGTTTACGATGTTCGGAAATAAAGAAGAGTACATTCATCCCCCGCTAAATCAATTTTAACTTGAGTCAAACGAATATATGTAAAACAACGAGTCGTTGGATTTTTTATCTTTTTTTATGACTATCTAGAACCTTGCTACGCGTCTACTGTTGACAGTGAAATAATATATATATATAGGTTATTTAGCAAGAAGTAGAAGAAATTCGAGATCGTTTTTCTTGATAGTACCATTCGAGAATCGTAAACAAATGAATACTGAAATCGAAACTTTTTACTCTTGATTTTCATTTTATGTTGTCACAAAGAATCATCCCTTACATTTTCTCCTATGGTTTGAAACACATATAAATATGGATAATTTTAGTTAGATTTACAATCATTTTATTGCACTTATTTTTAAAAATACCTTAAACTTTTATTAAAGTACCATAAGTATTGAAATTTTGATATTACATTACATGGTTGAGTATTTGAGTTCATTTTGAGACTTCAACGAAGTTAAAGATACTCTTGCAATTTGATAAGACTTTTCTGTATAAGAACAAGCGCGAGATACTGTTTTTAAGTGCATAGACAATGGACGCGTAGCTAAAGTAGAACGAAACGATGATATTTCGGTAAAATATACTTTCCTAAAGGTCTTAAATGACCAAATGTTCGAACATCTACTTTAACCCCTTGGCGTATTATTTGCTTTCGCGACTGAGTTCATATAGCATTTTACTATCGACAATTTGAAAGAAATGCAACGAAATTTTCTGTTCTAATTTAAGTGGAAATATCATTTGAAGATAATACATTGATAATAGGAAAATAGTTGTTTGCTTTTATCCGTGAAAAATGAACAACATTCAGTTTTGTTAAATTGATCCAGAAATCTTCATCGCGAGTTTCACTCGTCATTGTATGGCAAGGGGTTAATCACTATATATAATTTCCTTTTTGCTCTATTTGAACATCTGATATACAAATTCTCCACGAAGCGTAGTAATTTCAGCATAGCTTGCGTTAAGAGTTTACACGCGAGAAAACGCGCGATGGCTTTGTGCAAGTAACATATCTTCATCTGCAACGAGATGAAAATTTATTAATGACTTTGTATGCGTGCCTTTGATTCTTAATTTGAAATGAAATGAAGATGTCTTACGGAAATTGTAAAGGCGAAATTTATAGATATTTTTTTTAGTCAAATAAAATATATTAATTCCAGTCTTTTCTTTTCATTCACAATTCTTTTGCGATGCCGTGTAATCGTTGATTAGACGAATGCAATGATTCCAAAAACGTTTTCAATTGTACAGTACCTGAAGTTTGTAAGTTTCATATATCTTGTTTTTTACGACTTTACAAGAACTTGAACTGTCGGTTTATGGATAAATTTTGTCGCGATATTTCTGTGCAGCACACTGTGTAGGCAGAAGTCATTTATGGAATGAATGGAAGGAAGGATGTTTAGAAATGGTTAAATAATTGAAAAGACAAAATGAAATGGTGAATTAAAATCATAATGAATATTATTTATATTATGTAATATTTATTAGTATTATACACTTGTAGCATAAAGTATATAAATTATAATGCAAAAGTATATAACTTAATACTTGTCACGCAATTCAGTGAAACGACTATAATTAATTGATTCGATTTTATTTGTCAAATGAAATGATTGTTTTCTACTGGCAAATTACAATAAAGACAAATGACTGAAACAGTATACAATTGTGTAAAATCACCTTATTTAGGCTACATTTGTGACGATACATTATTACATCTTACTTAAATAAAAATCACTGGGTTTTCTTAAAATTATGTTCTCGACTTCTAATAAATTTATTCGAAAATTCAACAGTTGTCAAATAATGTTTGAATGTCTATACGAGAACCTGAAATATTTAAAATAAAACCTACACCTAAATTTTCTTTATTGACAATACACTACAAAACCATGCATTTGGACGAATGTTTGCAATATGTTCATTACCGTAGTATAAAATGATATTCATTTAAGTCTTATATAGCTTGTATTTTCATAGTTTAAAAGGGAAATGATTTTTCTTGTGCCAATATATCTTGAATGTTTATAAAAAAGGACAGGTTAAAAAATCTCGTTGGTTTGTTTGTGACAAATAACGATTAATCAATAAATTCGCAATTAGATTAAGAACGGGATTACATTCGTTGAAAATTCACGGATAGTGTCGTATTTTATTTTTCAAATCGCCAACGCTCTCAGCAAGTGAGGAAGACCCGGGGACCAGTTACAAGTAACGGGTACGGTGGCCACTTATGATCATCACACGAGAAACCTGAGCTACGTGTATGTAAATACAAGTTGCGTAGGCTTTGAAAAGAAACCGAAGTACAAATCACATTGAGTAGCTTATTTCGGCGTGAAGATTGTCAGCGTTCTATATTCCTGGTGAAAGTGTAGTTTTCGAGAAACACATTTTTTTTAAAATGTCTGTCTTTGCAATAATAATCGGTGTAACTTTGATTCTGCATTCCAATGGTGTTACTGGCTCGAGTAAGTACGATGAAATCAGAAACTTGATTATTGTTTCGTTGTTACACGAGTAATCTTCATTATTAATTAATGTCAGTTAGGTTTAGATTCTAGAGTGAATACGAACGACAAATATTTCTTCATGTTTTTTTTTAGTTTTTAATGTGATGTTAGCATGTTTTACAGGAAACAGTAGTATTCATAGAGAATTGTTTATTAAATTAGAAAACATTTAATATTTAGACATTAATATGCTGTTTTTTTACACTTTTAAAAGTATTGTGAGTGATTAGAAGAATGTAAATTTTATATTTTGAATATGTGTAGAAAAATTGATCTAATAACATTCTATTATTCTTTGGTAATAATTTACTTATTTCTATTAGTATATAAAATTGAGTAATATTTTTTGTAATTTCTGTCACACTTCCTAATTGCTGTGAACCAGATGAGCAGAGCGATGTGACGAGTGGTCTAGCTGCAGGGGCAAAACAAGCAGCACCATTTGCTCAGCTTTCACCGACAGGAACATATCAACAAAATATTAAGCAGTACAATTTTCCAGTTGATTATAATTATAAACCAACTAGGTAAGTATCTTATTTTGATATATATCTATTTTAAATTAATATCTTGTTAAATGTGGACTATCCTAAGGGCCAACATATTGCTATTAACAACCAATTGTTTATTTTATCTTACCAAAAGTGACAAACGAAAGTATACATTTATCAAAGCTTTGAAACATTGAACTTAAAACAATTTTAGTTACCATTTCACATGAAACTGCATTTCCATAATATTGATTAATGAAAATAGAAAAATGTAAATGATTCAGACATTTGAAACATTGAACTTTATATTATTCGAATTAATAATACAACTTAAAAATGAAATAAAAATTTAGTAAATCAAATAGAGTTTTATAGTCTTTGTGACATACAATAAATCTTCTTCTTCTATCATTTTTCCTCATTTACAAGATAAATACCAGTTAGAATTCGCGAGAACACCCTGTACAGAAAACGAAGATTGTGTCCTCTGTAAATACAAATTAAACAGAATTTTTTGCCACGTTCTTTTATGATTGCAATTTCTGGAGGAATACTGACCTTATTTTTGCCTTATCATTGTTATGCCACGTTCCAATCATTGTTATTGTTTGATATAATTATTATTGCCTCTCATAAGCACTCGGGAGACGTAAAAAGAATTGCGACATTATTATATTGTGACCTTTCAAATCGGAAGATGTACATATACAGAACAATAATAAAATTAATGTCATCAATTTGTATTGTTAATACATTTCTTTTCAATTTTTACTATCACTTTGTACATTTCAACCATAATAATAAAAATAATAATCTTTTAACGTAACGTCAAAAAATCAAAGATATATTAACAATGAATTCTGTTACCCTATTACAGAAACTAACATTTTCAAAGAAATGAAAATCTCTCAAAGAATGTCAAAGATCTAAAAGAACTTCCCTCAAAATCTAGGATTCTGTTTCCAGTTTTTCTTATTACATTGTTATGATTATATTTTATTATTCACAACATATATTTCTGTTTTTAGACGGTGCCCATTATGCGACAGCTCAGTGTACCCATATTGCGGGGAGAAACTATTACACGACGCGTGTTGCTGTACAGACCCTTACATCCACGATCTTCCTTACCAATGCAAATTAGCGGACTGCCGATTTCTACACGCGAATAATTGCAGAGAGCACAGATTGATCGCTAGTTGCTGCTGCAGCGACGATTATCGATCTTTATTGAAAAGTTTTGCAACCGTTTAAAGAACATCCACGAGCATTTCGTTCGACGTCGATTCGACGTTAAAAATATTTAATAATTATCGTCACTTGAATGCTTTTAATTATATCTTAATAACAGATTCACGCGAGAATGCAATTAAGGAATCAGATTCAGTAACAGTCTATAACCATGCCATTTTTTACACGGAAAATTAGGTCAGTAAATCTGTAACAAATGTGCCATTCAATTATCTGGAGTAATTAGTCTTGCCTCGTGCTCGATAAAGATGTACTTCCCAAACTGTACTTACGAAACGGACATTATCTTATTTTTTTCAAATATATGCACGTGTATCTCGGTATACTTATAATTCGCAAATATCAATAAAACATATGAGTAATTGAATTCAAGTATTATATTAAAAATGGATGTGACAGTTCAATAAGTAACAATGAAAATTAATCGAGAGTATGTCAGCCAAGAGAAATCTGTGAGTCGTGTGTGTATATTAAACATGCGATAAATTTTATGATATTGTAAAGGATTACTTTCTTTGTGCTCTTTGTTTCTACCCTTCCATTAAAGATCGTATACATTTCTTAATGGCAGTTTATGGTATTGTAAACTCTCGTGAATGTAATTGATTATACAAAATTAACCTCAATATTCTTTCTATGCGCGCAAAAATGTGTGTAACGTAAAACATATTTAGCAAAAAGTGTTTACCCATGGATTTTCTACATTAGAGAATATTAACATAATAACATTAGAATTATTCAATTGACGTAACAGTGAATCATGTTATATTCAAGCTTGTCTACTCCACTAACTCTACAGTCCACTAATTAAAATTCTAAAACAAATCAAATTGAATTGAAAAATTGTTGTCGTGAATGTTATGGGTGAAGAAATATTACAATGGTGAGGAGAAATCGGTTTTCTTGATAAATGGAGAAATCAATTTAATATGTTTTATTTAATTACCATAGTCTTATACCATCACCTTTATAATGTCTATTATTTTCTATGATTTTATTCTGTCATTCTGTAAATTTCTTAATGCTACTTGCATAAGACGATAATAATGTTAATTTTAAAGATGGTAATAGTACGATGGCGCCATCTCTGGAGGATACGAATGGTATAAATTTCGCGCGTGTAACGGCTTTTACACTTTTTCTAAGCTGGTGTTAATACAATTGAGACAAAACCATATTTCATGTCTAAATGCCAAAATTACTCAATCTATACCGACTTCTAAGCTAAGGCAAAGGTCAAATGTTTTGCAAACACGGGGCTCCACCCTGATAAAATGAATTTACTGGGTACAGTGACGCACGAGTCATTTGAAACCATTTATCTTGCCACTGTCAAATCGATATTACTTTCTTACCGACCTAATGTAACAGCGATTACAAAAAATGGTCATTGAGGTCAATCGTTAATGCATATTTAATATTCAAATCAACTTTGTTGCTTTATCTATTTTTAATATTGCAATTTCTATGTTGAACGATATACACAGTGCCTCATTTCAATCTGCAAATCATTCATATTACACTGAATGAGAAAATCTTTCAAGTAAACGTTAATTTACTTTCCACAAATATAGATATACGTATTTTTATTTTTTATTTACTTATTAATCTATATTTTGCGCGTGTTAATACCAAAATTAATTCTTAAAATTGGGGACGACGTATATGTGAATCCAAGATGAGAAGCTCATATAATTGACATATTATATAAGGAAGTAATATGAGGAAATAAACATTACATTCAAATTTATGATCCTTCCTATACACAGTTTGTTATCTAAGGATAAATAAATAGGAAACAGAAATGACTAAATAGAAGAGAAACGGACTATCTTGTCAAAACAGATTATCGAAAGTCAGTCACCCGTGATGCGATACCGAATCTTTCAAGTGTGCGAAACAAAAAAAAGAATCAAGTAGTCAATGAAATAAATTTCAATTCAAGAGGAATTTATTTTAATTGATTTTTATGCTTCCATTCTACGTTCGTGAATCATTAATATTTACATTAACATAATGTAATGCGATTCAGAAAAAAGCAAGGACGAAAAAAGTAAAGAAGTACGTTAACGTACTTGCACAAAAAGGAGTCATTAATTACTTATATTTGCATACGTAAAGTGAATAATCTAATACGTAACACTGATAACCAGTACTTAACTGTTGGAAGATTTTATTTTTTATTCCCACGGGTTGACTGGCATGCACCATTTTTTTACGAAACATAATTTGCAAAATTTATGAGACAAATATTATTGAACACAAATGATAACATAGCTGTTCAGAATTTATTTTTACTTTTATAAACATTATTAATAAATTCTGCAATAATATGATATTAAAGAAAGTTCCGAAATAAATGTAAGAATAGTTGAAGCAACTTTGAATAAAAAAGAGATAATGCGTGAAGAGATACATCATTAAAAATTAATGATAAAAGTGACATTTATCGACAAGAATGTTGCAAATATTTCTGCACACAATGAATGAGCGCCTGTGACAAACAATAAACGATAAAACGATGAAAGATTCATCCTGAAAGTCAAATATTCGCGTAAAAAGATATTTCACCTTGCTGACGAATTTCCACGTGGCTTCGAAGAGTGTAAACATGTGTGTATGCACGTAAGACATACGCAGTCAACACAATTATGAAAAACATTCTTTGTTAATTAAGCTATAGCGCAAGATCATCGTAACAAAATAATTTAACTGTTTAATAAGAACACAAATTGTCGATTAGTGTAAACATAAGAAACTTGTTCAGCTTTACTAGTCCAATGATATCACAGAATTATATAGATTATCAATTAATCCGTTCATTAATTCATAGATTCCATTAATGCCATTAATTTCATTGTTTTAATTAGTATTCAAGTGAAATGATTTATTCGTATCAAAATATATTCAATAACGTATAGAACACCCGAAGGTGAGTCATCAGTCGTTTATGCATATCACGGACACGATTTGCCCTAGCAAAATCCTTTGGAGGGATTCATTGAAAGGAGCATACCTGACGAATTAGGAAGGATTGTATATAAAAACCTCCTATGCTCCTGTCGGAAACCTAAAGACCTCAAGGACGTCCGAGGGTTACACGTGCCGACCGTTTCAGTGCGACAACCCTCAACGCCTGAGAATCGATGAAAATTCCGATCCGTCTCCACTTCGGCTGTTTCTAGGTAAATCTATAAAGTTGTATTCTTCCTTTTGCTCATCTATTTCCGATCCTCCTTCGAATTTCTCCGTTGGATGCACTGCGAGAACGTTTAGATATTGAAAGAGCTACCGGTATAATTGACCTTTTTAGAAGGTTGAAGAACCTTAAACTGTCTTGATAATTGTGTTTAAAGGAATTTTGCGTAAAACTAATACAGAAATTAGTAAAAAATTAAATTTAAAGAAGTAATATTCAATAACATTCTGAATGAATTGTAATCGTTTATTGAATTCAGTCCAGTCAAAATATTATAGTTATGAATTTCTATTGATGTTATTTAACAGATTACTTGTATTCCATACGTTAATGTAGAATGTAAATATCATATATAATATCCACTGAAATAAAATAAAAATTGCAATTGGCAGTCAATTCAAATTTAAACGTTAAACAGAAATAAAAAAGTAAACGTTTAGTTACGAAGTAGATACGAAAATCAATAGAACGCTACAATTTAAGCTCGCATAAATCGTTCAATACAAAATGAGGTTATTTTGAAAATCAATTTACTTGGAACAAGTGAATCATCATTGAAGAAAATATTTATTTATTGAAATATGCTGTATAGAACCTTTTAACGTTAATCTTTATTAACACAGCACAGGTTTCTCTTCTTTGATAGATTTACGATTCGTAATGAGAGGCAACCGCGGGATGCCGTTGTAAAAATCGATTGCAGATAAGATGTCACATGAATTCGATGACATAATTTTCACATGCATCATCGATATTCGCCTCCTGTAAACCGGTCTCTGTCAACGGTTTGCACAGCAGACCAGTCTGGAGCAACTGAAACGAATCGGGGCTCCGTCCTTGTAAGTTCAGATACACGCCGATTGTAGGACCCAGATTCGGTGTGTATGCCTTCCTAATGAATGCAACCATTCTTGGGAACGGCACAACCCGAAGAAAGTGTCCGAAAATAAACTGCGCTGATAGAGGTTCGCCTCTGTACGGTTTTAAATAATTACCGGTCATTTAACCGAATTAAAAACGGCGAGAGCGAAAAGTATACTCGTGTCGCGAAATCGTGGAATTATTTCTGTGTCGATATTAGACTGTGGATGTTTACAGAAATTATTGTATATAATAATTAGAAATATTGTGCATATATATATATATGAATTTTATTAGTCTTGATTAATGAAAACTTATTATGAATGTGCAATTTTGTGTGAATCCCGTACGAAAATGTTGTTTTTAAAGTTTGAATTGACTTAGACCATTTTCAAAATTAACTGAATATAAATGACTTATAGCAATAAAAAACTATGAGTTTTTCAGTGATTAAAGTATTTATTAAAGTATAAAGATAATAAATATTCCAAACGTTTTCAATTATATGTTTCTTTTAACGTAGGAATGTCATACATGTTCGAAATTAATTTATTGAATTATATAGAATGTAGTTCGTCGTTAATAAAGGAAAAATTACTTGTGTTTGTATATGTATAACAGTGAAGTTTGTAGCTTTATTTTTATAAAATAGAATGGCACTTTAAGGAGGATTGTATTTATTTTATTTATATGTTATAGTAGCGTGCAATTAACGGATGAATGAAATGAAATCTGCATTCCTGCAAATTCATTATTTGGAATAATCATAAGGAACATATAGCGTATATTATAATATTAAAAAGATTCAGCACTTAAATGTTAACTCCTTAATTACCTAGTTTTGTATAAAATGATAAATATCGCAAATTGAAATGTAATCTTATACATATATACATTAATCGGAATAATCTGTTTCAATCTAAGATGCATGACAGCGAAAATTAAAGCGCAATACATATGAAGCATCAATCATACCTGCAACAATTACAGATGACATGCAAGAATAACAACTGAAATTATCCTCTAACCACAGCAATTCGATCAAGTTTTTTATCATCGAAAAAAATCACTGACTACAATGTTAATTATATTTCAACGTATTTGCGAGATTTCGTTGATGCACAACGCTGGGAAGCACGTAGTAGCTGTGTATTTACATATCGGCCCCTTGCTGAAATAGTCACAAATCCGAATCATCAATAAATATACTCTCGTGACTATTATAGAAAGACATAAAAATTCAACTCGACTATTCGGTAGTTTTAATATTAACACGCCCCGTGTCGAGCCGTTTTTGAATAAGTGCCATTACCTGGCCGTGTGTTCCATTTTTGAGACACCGTATTAAGTTTGATAAATATACAAAAAAAATGTACTTATAGTTTTTCTTTTGAGTCGTAAATTTACTTACCAGTAGAATATTATTAACACGTTAAATACCACGAAAAACTTAACCATTTTTCTGTACAGTTATCTTTTTTAACAAAGAAAAGTAGCAACCATTATTCACTATTTGACGTTACAATCTTTGCATCACACTATTATCAACTTACGTTATGAAACATTTTGATTCGACATCGATTATTTTGCATGTTACGATTGTCTTCCGGTAATTTAGAAGCACCAGTCATCAGTATGTACACAGTGTAACAAAAGAACAAGTTCCTTCACATTCGAAATGTTCAAGAATAAAAACAAAGTAAAGATGACAGAGCAGTATTCATGTAAACGTCACTTTGAAGTTAGGTCTAAACATGTCCCATTTTGGGGACACGCGGCACGGAACATGTTAATACTTATAAGCATTTACATTTTTATATGCGCACGACTGATTGTTTCTAAACAGTCTGTAGCTGGCGAATGCATGGGTGAAGAGTGGAGACGCCTTTTCGGGTGCAGTGGATCGGAGTTCTCCTGTACGAACCAAGTAGATCGCGTTACACGTGGAAACACGAGGGTATTATGTAATAGAAGGTCACATGTTTGCCAACTCGCGGAAGATCGGAGAGTTGAGGTCAGGCACGTGGAACACGTTTGTCTCTCCCGGGAGCGGCGGCGAACACGCGAACGGCCCCGTACACGTACGAGGAGATCCGCGCGAACACACGCGACCGATACGCGGCCTACGGCCGATTGTCTCGCCCGGCAAGCCCGTTTCGCGCATGCGAGCATTTCGCTCGCTCAACGTTTCACTTTTTTGTATGAGTCGATCGCGGGCCAAACCGATGAAATCCAGTTTTCGAATTTTTCTAAATTTCAGTGTCCGAAATCAATTTGCTTGATAACTGTTTTAACACCACGAAACGACAGTTTTGGAATTTTTCGGAATTTTAATGTTTGAAATCAATTTCTTTTAATTGGTTTAACATTAGGAAACGGTAGACATTTCTTTTGAACACGGAATGATACGAAATTTATTTCAAAAGTGGAAGTGATTGAACTCTATAGTTTCACTTTTTGTATGAGTCGATCGCGGACCAAATCGATTAAATCCAGTTTCGGAATATTTCATTAATGCAAACATTGAGGCAAAGAAAATAGAAAACAAGCGGTATAAAGTTAGATTAAGAAAATGGTGTAGGGAATTTCTATCAAAGTTATTAATTTATAAGCATTTGAAGGTTACAAGCTTGGTGTATAGGTACGTATAATTGTAACAATTGTTTTATAAATCTATTTACGGTTTTGTTCATGTTATTTGGTTAAATATAAGATAATAATTATAAGGCGGTGTAAATTTGTACTTGTAAACATTTCTTCGACAGCACAGTATCTGACCGATCTACTTAATCTGTTTTCGGTTTAATATCGCTTTATTAATTTTAATATTCGTTTCGCTTTTTTCTGTCATTTTTTAGTTATGATAAAAATTCGTACCCGAGAAATACCCAATCACGATGTCCTTGAACTCAGATTCGAAACGGATACGAGAAATAAAATAAGAAGAGAAGAAAGTGAACTCAAACGTTGGATCGCGACACGTGAAACTTAATATCCGATCTTTAATTTCATCGGTTTCGAATAGTCGCGGAACATTCTTGCAGCGAAATGTAGTTTAAGGCAAGATTTATGATCCTGAAATCTGAATTTATGAAAAAGTTACGCGGTTCGCTTTTCTTCTATTTCGGTGGGGATGACTTCATGGGCAAAATGTTTTCGGTTAATCCTGTGGAATACCAAAAGATGAGTGTTTTATGCGTAACTTTGATATTCTTAGCGGAGTTATGAATTTTTTGAGCATCGAGCTGAGTTTCTTTCCGAGTGAAATCTGTCGTTTTAATTTTAGAATTATAATATTAAGGAAAGAAACATTACAATTTCGAACACCAATTTCTATTTCATGATTGTTCTAAATTTATGAAAGATTCAAATTTCATACAATACGAAATCTTTCATTTTAATTTCGTAATTATAACATCGGAAAAGAATATTGTTTTAATCCACAATTTCAACTATTAATTTTTGTTTCATGATTGTTCTAAATTTGACAAATTAGAGATCAGTTTTCACGAAATCTTTCATTTAATTCCGGATTTGTAGTATCCAACAAAATATTGTCTTAAGCTATAATTCTTATTATGAATTTTTATTTACGATTATTTTAAATTTGTCAACTTAAAAATACAGATTTCATACGGTACTTGATATTAGTTATTTTAAGACAAAATCAGCTAGTGAAATACAACTTCACAATTCTTACGCACTTCCATCGCGTTCATCCACTTACGAACATCAAACTCCGAACCAAAGAAATTCCACGAAATCATGTTTACCGAATGCATATTTTAATGAAATTCTTGAACAAAAGAGTTCGCTGTCTTCGTCGAAGTCGATAAACTTGATCGCAATCTTCTCTGCAGATATCTTATCGTTCGCTTAGCACAATCCTTTCTGCCATGAAAGTTCGTCGAACCGGCAAGCGTTCTATTCTTTGTCAGCATAGAATATCGGTGACAATGGTCTTGTGATGCATCTGCACTGAACAATGGAATACAAATGAGGCCCTGAAAACCAGCAGGATCTAAGTGAAAATCTGCTGTTTTAAATGGGTAGTATTCAAAATTCAGATAATTATATATTAAGTCGTTCATATAAAGCATTAATTAGCTATACCTGTATCAAACATCGAAAGAGTATTCTTTGAATTTTAGTAGTATGTAATGTTGCGTATGACGAACTTAATTTTGCCATTGTCACAGAAAGGTAGTCCTGTTTTTTAATAGTTCAAACGTAAGAACAAAAAGAACATTTTTTCTAATACATATATAGCTCGTTATGGTTGTGTTATTTAGACAAACAGTATTAATACATAATAACATGATAATGTTGATATTTAATACAATGAGAACCCTACTTTATTATGTTTCAGTCTTCAATTTCCATTTTCATGAATATTCTTTGATAAAACGTCGACATAATATGAAAAACAGCCTTGAATAATTGATCTCGCATGAAACATTTATCGATACTCAATACACTGTAAACGTTATACAAGTTATTACAAAGAAACTATTTGCAACTAACCACCAGAATGAAAACATTGAAACTAATTATCGATGAAAACAGTAATTAGCATCAGTGTTTACCATCAAGAAACTATAAAAAAGATTGCGTGTATTATTAGTACATGCTTATGAAGGAAAGCAGAAACTTAATAACGTACTGCGTTATCGTCAGCGTTCTACATCTTTCCTAAAATGTTGAAATTTCATTATAGTTGGTCTAGAATTAACTAAAAAGCATTTAAAACGCACAAAAATTTGACTATCCGTTCTCCGAAATTTTATAACGTAAATTGATCATAATAATAATAGTCTACTATTTCTTCTGAAAAAAACTTTCTCAAAGAAACTAAATTGTATTACTTAAATACTAATATTAGTAATTAATAATAACCAATGCTATCAATAACACAAGCACCAACAATTAATAACAATCAATACCATCAATACTAATATCATCAATCAATAATCACCAGTATCATTAACAACATTGTCACATTACTTTTCAACCGATCCAGAAACATGCCGCAAAATCTTTTCTCCCCAACTCAGGGAAAGCAGTTAGACTATTATTCTGGGCTGTTGCATAATACTCGATAATGCGACTATGTTTACCTACACGAAACTTGATAATGCAACGGGATGCAAGTTGAACGGCGTTTATCGTGATCAGTGAAGGAGGTGATGTGGGCAAATCGTTTATCAGCGTTTAAGTAATTCTCTATGGAGTTTGCACAGAAAATCGGAAGACCGAGGCGATCGAGCGTTATCCGCGTTGGCTGAAATGATTCCGCAAAATCACACCAACCATGAAATTATGTAATTGATCATTATCGGTGTAGATAGCCGTCTCAGGCGAATTCTTGCACGAATACCGACTGGCCTTGCTCGGGTTGCGTTCTTGACGATCGAAGCTGTAATTTAAACATTCGTTGCTCCGTTGTCACCTGTGTTCTGCATTTTCATGCGAAATATCGATACTAATCGATAACCCATCCTTGGTCTCCTTTATCTTCTCTCTCACCGCCTCCCTTCACGCGCGGACAATTCTTTCACCGTTCTTTCTTCGAGCTTAATTTCCCTTTCTTTAGCCTGACACGTGTCATCCCACACTTTTTCTCTTTTCCAGGCGACACGTGGCAACACCCGCTGTCTGACGTAATTGTTTTGATATGGTTAATCACCGTTTCCGATGAATGGATCGCTGTGAACACGAAGGAATCAATTCGCAAACGTCGCTGAAGAAAATGGCCGAACCCCGGCTCAAAAACTTCGAGAAACATCTGGCCTGACGGGTACAGCGCACTGGCCACATGTTGATTCGCCGATTGTAGCGATCTAGCGTCACCCGGCGGAAATTCGGTTTGACGAAGTCACGGCAGGACCTCGATTAGGGCCATCGAGCGTTTAATATGATTAATATTAAATTATTCAGTGGTTTATTAATTGAATTGTTGATTATTCATTATTATATAAATGTGGTTAATATTAACCCTTTGCACTCCGCTGTCCCCTCTCGTGGGACATCGTAATTCTAGCATATCACTCGGATGTCCCCTCTCAGGGGACATTAAAGTTTATTAGTGATTACGGGGAATTAAGTTATTTCAGCGCAACTTTTTGAGACATGCATGTTTCCCTGAAGTTTTCTCTTGAAATGGCACAAGAAATCAAATCAAAATATAGTAAAATTACTGAGGTATATAAAAAAATTGTCAGCGGGTTTTGTGTCAGAAGAGAACGTGAGAAGCGTGCTCACGACGGTCCGAGCATTTCTCGGCGCCACTTGAAAAGGGCGATAAGGAGAGTTTGTAGAAGAAAAGTCGGTATGCGAGTATACCTCGCACTGTATAGTGAGATTTATAAATATAAATAAACAAATTTAAAACTGGAGGAAAAGATTTTCAAAGTTGAGCTCAGTCTGGTTTGAAGCGTCGAGCGGTATGGATAGATCTAACGAGTGAGAAAATCGGAAAAGTGATTCTTCTCTTTGTAAATAAATTCTTTTGGTAAAAGTTCTTTTGGTAAATATCATTTTGTGAGTTAGTAATAACAATTAGAAATTTTCAACCCACGTATTTATTCATTTCTTTTTATTAGAACAATGACAAAACGTTCAAACACGAATGAGTTTCATGACACAAGTAGTAGTGAAGATGAGCTCCAGATAGACGTTTATACAGATATGTTAGAAAGACTAAATGTAGAAGAAAACGATAGCAGTGATAGTGATATCGTCCAACCAACAAGGCGACGAAGAGATCGCATCGATAGCGATAGCGATGAAAGTGATACAGACGAACGGTTTATCACACTGTACAAAATTATAAAAAATAAAATATTGATTTTTTTGCAAATATACATTTCTTGATGTTAACCAATTCATATAAGTTCCATGTCATTATAATACGTTACTTGGTTCCAAAACTATATTAAATAATACGAGGGTCCGTAAATGCACGTTTCTGCCACAAAGTAGCGCTGAGTAGCTGGTAGCCAACGTCCAGAGTGGTTCGGAGTGCAAAGGATTAAATTTTTCATTGTTTCATTAATTATCGGTCATCACGTTGCACGCAACATCAAGTGCGATGGCACTTCGGCTATCGGCACGATGGCTATCCTAAGCTAATATTATATTTCACAAATTAATACTATTAATCATTAATTATTATTAAACTCAAACAAGTCTTTCTTCCTCTTCACTAAAAGACGATAAATCTTCTGGTATACCGACTGAAATTTGAGATTTGTTTTTAAGAAATAATACGTCGTAGAAACGTTCTTCGCGTCACACTCCATCTTTCTCTCGCAAGGAATCACTTTCAAAGAATTTGCAACAAAATTCCTTCTTCTAAACGCCATTCCTTTATCTAGGACCTAGATTCCAAATTAGTCGTTTAACTGGTTCGGACAATCCCAAGTTCCACTGTGCCCGGTTGAAGATACTTGGATCGTATCTTCGTCTGTGATCGGTGGTCAATAATGGACTTCGACATTACGTTAATGCGAATATTAAATGCTAACAGTAACGCAGTGGATCTTAGTAACGATGTAGCGGTCCTCCTTAACGATCGGATGCCTCGGTACGAACACGCGGAGTCAAAACGAGATTTTTTTAGGGATACACCGAATTGTTACAGTTGAAACGGAAAATAGAAACTTTCTCCCTGTGAAAGTGAACCGCGCAGTGGCTCCGGTCGCGCGTGATATAATCTTTGAACCGAAAAACGCAGCATTGACTGCACATGTTTACCTTCCGACGCATTCACGGAATATAATGTGAAAGTTTCGTCACGGTGATAAAAAGGAAGGAGCATTCACTGCATCTTCGATGATAAAGGTATCTTGCTACGAATTTGGAGCTCAGTTATGCAGGCGTCTTCGATACTTTTCTTGTGAATGAATGTCAACATCGTGGCTCTCGATTGAAACGCAATACTTCTGTGTTGGACGGATTGGTACTTCTTTGAATTAATTTGGCTGACGCCATTGTTGTTCGGGAAAATGGACCCGACTTTCTTGTGTCGTTCATCTGGAAATATTAAATTCGGCGGATTCCATTTGACAATTATCGTAAGAGCTGTACTACAGAAAATTTAACAACTCGTTAACGTTAATATATTCTTGTAATTTTTGAAATGTTATAAATTAATATTGTATAGTATTTTCATATTTTATTATATTCAATTTTAATAATTATGTACGATTTGTGTATTGTAGAGTAAGAATGAACTACTGTGCAAGAAGAATCAGTTGAATCCGTACACTTCTGTACTCGGCGAATTCTTGAAAATTAAACAAATCTTCATTGATACAGTTTGCGAAAACATTTGTATAATGAGGATTTCACGCGGCAGATAATCGTGACCGGTGAATCGGTCATTTTATTTTAATAAAGTTTTTGGAACGATTGAACTGACGTTTATCAAATAATTGGTACAAAATAATTCATTCACAAGCAACAATCACTTCCCCAAATCCGTTCCAAGGTAGAAATACTTTCGCATATTTGCAAACACGGGTAAACAGCACACCAATGTACCGATACAACGTGTTTGCCAGCGTCATTATCATCGTATCATTCGCCTAATCAGATTCAACACGTAAATATTGATTTGCGCGCGTGTACGACGTGGAACCAGCTGATACAGTTTCGATACATGCAGAAATCGCTTAATTTCAGTGCTAGTGAACTGATCAGTGAAGTGATTGTAACAGACATCGTTATTTAAAGTTACAAATTACGACGTTACAATTAGAAACTGAAAGACTCCCTTCAAACTCACTTTTATAGTACTTGATTCAGAAGATTCATCGGATTTCGCAGAACATCGCAAACACTGCCAACGAACTTGTCAACGTGAACCGAAGAGTATTCGTACATAGAACTGGTAGCAAGTGTCAAGCATCAAATTCTTCAAAATGAAGAGGAAAGTTGCATAACTTCGCATTAACGATGCATCGTTGCGTAATGATATTTTTCAGTACAGTCAGTGTTATCTGACAACTTACAAAGATTAGTATTAAATTGCACACTGCTGGATTTAAAAAAAAAAATAAGCGTGACAGTATTGCAGCGTTATGTCGTAATGATCTCACCTTTCAGTGTTGCTATTATTATTTGCCTATTCGCAAAAACGAAAATTGCTTTTAAAGCGTTCACTGGGGGTCAATGAAAAAATCAATTTTTCTAATTTCGGCACTCATAGTTTTGTTTCTAGTCTCCACTACAGAATAATAAAAAAGATCGGAATCTTCCAATTTTGACGCACAATTTTTCTCTCAAAATACCCACTACAGGATAATGAAGAAACAAATTTTTAAATTTCGACACTCACAGTTGGTTTTGAAGTTCCCATTATAAGACAATAATGAAACCGAAATTTTCAAATTTCAACGCTCATCATTCTGCGGTTAAAGCGTTTGCTACAGGACGACAAAAGAAACCAAAATTTTGCAACTTCAACGCTCCTAGTTTTACTTCTAAGTGCTCGCTAAAGGGCATTCGAAAGAAAACTGAAATTTCCCGATTCCGGCGATCGCAGCGTTTTTCAGGAAAGCGCGTTCAATTTTCCTCGTCCCGCGGAGAGACAAACGAGCCGGCACCTTTCGTACGGGCGCACGATCCGACACCTCTACACGCATGCAGAACGTCCCACGTGTTTGTTTCTATTGGTGGAAGAGTTAACCACTGGCCGTTGATGTAGTACACAGAGTATTCAGTAGTATATAAGGGAGACTGTTTCGTACGGGCACGCATAACCGAGGGAGTCATTCCATGACACGCGTTGCACACGACCGGGGCAACCTCTTTCCTCCACTTCTTCGGACTTCATCGGAGGCGCACCGCGACCGCCGCTCCGCGGACACCTAGTTAGTACGCCGAGCCGGACCTCAGGGGGTAACTCGACCCTCTCGACGTGATCTTCGAGGACACGGCCTCTTGCAGCCCGAGAAACGAAAGAAATCCCATTGAACCAGGCGAAACACCTCAGAAGTGCCAAGGAAATTGATCAGTTCATCGGTGATTGAACAGAGTGTACAAGACATTCTCAGTATTCCTCCTCGAAAAAGGAAAAGGATCGTTCTAATGAATAAAGTAGAATCGAATTTCCTTTAGAATTCGTTGACTGAGAAGGAGGAATCGGTATTTTTCACGCAAATATGCGAAAACGTTGATCGGATCGCAAGAAGCTTTTGTAGAGGAAATTGTTCGAAGATGTCCGCTATGAGTTTCGTTATGGGTGGATCATGGGTTACGCTGACCCTGTCAATGTGCCTGATGACGATCATCCTGCTGCTGGCGGTGCGACGAGGGAAGTTTCTGTATGCCCTGCGGAAAATGCCTTACCCTCCGGCGTTTCCTATCATCGGGAATGCTCATCAGTTGTGCTGCAGCCCGGCAGGTAAGTAAAAATGTCAGGCCCTGGCTCTACGAACACGAGGACGAATCGCTGACTTTTGCGAAAGTTTGAATGAATCATTCTTGTACATGTTTTGCTGATACCGTGTTCTTTCGTGGTATTTCTTTTTGGTGTTTTATAACAGTCAGATCGTTGTTTTATATTGACAGTCGAGTAGTTTAGGTTCTCTTGTTGCGAATTGTGACGGTGAGTTTATTGGTGTTTTGATTTTGATTTCGAACTTGGGATATGTTTTAGGATATTTGCGAGTAAATTTATTTAATAATTTGTTGGGAGAGATTCTTTATTTGTTCAATGGTTATGGAGGAAGATATTTGGATTGCATTATCTTGACTCGTTTGGTAGTTTTAGTGTTAATGATATCATAAATTGCGTGTTTCTTTGAAACAACTTATTCTTTAAATATAAATGATTGCTTGGTATGCTTTTTGTTAGAAAATTAAAGTAATAACTTTAATAGTATCAATGATGCACCCACGATCAGAAAACAAAACACTGTCAACCGCATCGATTAACAATTCGTATTAATGGATCTAATTGCACGAATTGTAAATGCGTGGTAATAACCTGGTTTCTTACATAAGTCTACTCTTATGTAAGAAATCAAGTTTTTTGCCTTAAGAGATCCTATGTTTACAAATGAAAATGATGATATGAATGGAGACAAGAAATTGAATTCTTTAATCGAATCGTCACGATCAATTATCTTATAAATGCATGTTGCGCGTGTTATACGTCACATAAAAGTGTTTTCAACAGAATTAGCCAGAGAAATTAACAAATTGAATTTCTAAAGAATCAATAGCTAAATGAAACGGAGTCGTTGAATTTACGCGATTAAATTAACGTTTCCACTGGAAAACGATCATCTGTTCAATTTTGGAATTTCAATGCTTCCAGAAATTCGCCAATCTGCCATTTCCAAATCTCTCGTGTATTACAAATCAGTTCGAAGTTTCTGTATATTGGATCATCAACGAATCGCAGTTTATCTCGTGCGCTGCATTGAAATATTATCCACACGTGCAAAAATTGCATTGAAAACGTGTGACTGGCGCGCGAGATGTTGTCCAGAATCTCGTCAGATCCAAACATGCCTGAAACTGATATCCGTATGAATACTTTTATTTTCAATTTGACGCGATACGCCGATAACCTCTCATCGAAAAACGTGGAAAGAGTAACCGTGCAAGGAGGTGTATCGATATTGACAATGAATACAGATGCACGCCCCGGCGTCGTATTTTCTGCGACCGAGGTACACGTATTTACTATATACGAGGTGCATATTGGTAAATATGACATATCGGTGAAAGTTAAATTGCGGATTGCACACGTGTAATACATATGCACCCGATACCTGGATAATACATTTTATACATTTTCCTCTGAACGCTTTTCAAATGAAAAAAAAGACATTCCAATCAAATGATAATATCTTACTGTAAATAAATATCAGTGTGTATAACATCCTGCACAAATACTTTTTCAGATAGTTATAATGAAAATATGGAGGTTTTTGTATAAATATTTCCTGGTTCTCGGTAAACAATATTTAAGCAAGTTTGAGAAAATGTTTATCTTTCCTAGGAAATCAGAGGAAGTTCTATTAACTGTATATACGTTAATTGTAAATACATAATATCTATTAATTCTATTAAGTGAGAAACTTTCAGTGGAAGACTACTCGCATGAACGAGTTAAATAAATATTGCCAACACGTGCGAGATAATAAAACTGTGTTAGCATCTATATTATACTGGTCATAAAAGCAGAAGCATTGAATGACATTCCTATCGTATTTCTCCTTATAGAATTTCCTGGTATATAGTCCGATTAACACATGTACAGATACAATGAAATCTGTGAACATATAATGTTATGTAAATTTTTAATTTATTATTTAAAATAAACGCATAATATAGTATGCATATGTATATTAATTGAAAGAAAGTATATTCAATGAAATTGAGTTTAGGGATAGTGCTTGTTTCTTTTGTAATAAACGTTTATTACACATAGTATGAAATTCCTTTTTGAAGAATTGTAGAAATGTAGAATCTCAAAATTAATATTAATATCAATATTACATATTATTTATGTAATATAAAATTCATAATATTAACATTACCGAGTACCTGTTTATTTATTTATTATACTATATTTACGTACTTGTTTACTTATTATATTATATCTACACACTTCTACACAAACCTTAAAGATTTATTGAACACTACACCGATTTACGTAAAAGAAAATTGGAGACTCATAAAATATCTAAACACATTATTTAATTGTATCGTAAGTGAGAAGTCAAAGTCCTTTTCGGAACGCACTCATTATCGCAAACATTAATAGAGTCGATGAACAAATCGGGCATTAATCGTCCGAGATAAAGTGTGTGTGTATTTTGGAAATATGTTGTCTGCTCTAAATATGGGAGGCAAGTGAATCGGTGGATCGAGTGCACGCGCGAAAGAATCGCTCGAGGGGCAGGAGGGGCGAGAGAGAAAGAGGGAAAAAAGAAAGATTTATCCACCTCGGTCATATTGAATACTGAAGATAATCGTTAGTCTCTTGCGCGCAACGAGACGAAAGAAGAAGCGGGTCGAGGTCGTTCGCGTCCTGAATAACGTTACTGTAGCGTATAATTGCACATAATTCCATGAAACTTCACATGTATATGTTGAAAAACGCGAACGCTGACCGTCGAAAAGAGAATTTTGAGGAACATCGGTTGGCTCGTGATCCAGATTAGAATCTTATTGTTCGTCGAGCTGGTCTAATCTCGCGCGGAACAACCGGAACAAAGTCGGAATGTTAACACTAGAACCACCAGATGGGTCAAAATGACCCATTCCTAAATTCATTTTTTTACAATTATTGAAGAAATAATGATCCTCCTTTAAGAAATTTCTAAAGAAATTGTTTTAGTAATACGCAAACTAAGTTTTGAGTGATCGAAATCTCGATAGATGCACTCTTGGGGTTTCTATGGAAACATTTTGAATAGTCACATTGACTGCTTGGTAGTCCTAGTGTTAAAGACAAGGAACTTTCTGAGGAATTCGAATTTCGAAATGTAATTCGAATTTTCAATTGTTACTTATTTAAGTTTGTAAAATCAGTAATAAGCTGTTATGTACTTAAGGAAATGACACTGTTGCAAGAAATTATTGTTTGACCTATTTTGTGCACATAGAGTCCGAGAATGTAATTTATATAAATATTTGAAATTAAGTCGAGAAAAACGTGAGAGCGTCAGGTGATTATTTATTGTGTGACTCAGAATCGATGTGGGTTACTGTAACTATTAAAATTATTAAAATTATGAAAATTACGGAAATGGTTAAAATTATGAAAAATTGCAATATTATGAGACAAGTAATATCAGAATGCCATCGAATTTATTAAAATCTATTACAGTTTAAAGGATATTGACATTAACACTAAAACTACCAGGCGGGTCAAAATATCCCATTCCTGATGTCTTCTTTTTGCAATTATTAAGAAGATAACAGATGTTTCTCCGAGAAATTATTAAAATAACTGATTTAGCAATACGCAAACTGAATTGTAAATCAATTGAAGTCTCTTGGAATTTTTATAAAAATATGTCAAAAAGTCAATTTAACTGCTCGGTAGTTTTAGTGTTAATGTCAAGCATTATATTGATCCCGAAGGTATGGTAGACAGTCTCTGCTCGTTTTCGTTGAATTTTTATTGTTGGATGACTTCGGCCAGCAAACATGCAGGTTGACATTTTTACCGGTCAACGTCCGAACAGTCACCAGCCACACCTCGTTCCTTAAAGTTGCAACACGAGACATCTTTCTTTTTCGCCTTGGCCCCCGTTGATCTTTATCGACGGTTTAATTTCTCGGTTTAACAAGGAGCAATTCGCATTCCGGAAATCGAGGAAGCCTAGAGACACGGTAATGACGATTATTGCCTTTGGCTATGACCGGGGAAGGTCTGCTCTTGCACGCTGCCACGGGTCAATGATCGTTATCATTCGGATGGAGGTACTGTAGATACCTAATAGCGTTCGATCACACTCGTGACCTTCGTTTCTGTTCAAGGACAAAATATTGCTCGAAAGTTCTGTTTCTTATGCGTCCTGCGAACTAGACAAATTTAAATGTCATTGTTCAGATACAATTATTGGGAAAAACGATCGACTGTTCTGTATTGTCTGCATTCGACAATAGGATGTTCACATATTTGTTAGTATTTTCAGTTGCTATTTAATATTTTATTATTAGAACGCGTTGATTCAGTAAATTGAAACTGAAATTCAGTAAATTTCGTCGTTACACTAAATTGTTATTGCAGGTATGAAATAGTATAACGTTTATACAAATATAATACCTAAATATGTAAAAAACATTGTTATGAAATTTCTTTGATCAAATATAGTACATTGAAAATAAGTATGTTAATTTGGCATGATTTCAGTTTTTAGATCTATGATCAATGAAGTCTGTAATTAAGTAAATCATCGAAGAATTTAGAAATATGAAACGTTCAGTGGAGAAAAATAGACATTTCCGACACTTGTTGCGCCTCGGGTTCACGAGTTTAGAGAGATCCACTTTTACCTCGATGACATTGAATTTTTACTTAATAATAAAAATCTGATAACACGATTTTATGGAAGAAGGAAATAGTATGTAACGTTTAACAGGAACATCAAAGGATTATACATAATGAAATTTTGTTGAAAATTGTTAGCAACTTATGATCGGTGCCAATAGGACGAAGTTCGAAACTTGCTACTCCCAGAGCAGTCTGGCTATTCTCTTGAGTTGTACTACCATTGAGAGAACACTGGACTGTAATCACGCTTTAATCCTTCCGTGACTATACGTAACAACTTCACTGAACTACACTAAGCACTAATAAATACTATACTCGCATTGAAAATGCTTCACATTACCATTATGGTATCGTCTTTACAACGACTAAAGTTTCTTCAGTGTCACAAGTTGAAATTAAATAATTCGAACAAGAATTACATTCTATAGGAAAATTCAATATAAAAGGTAAATCAATCACTTTATTCTTTAGGCTTTTAAGAGAAAATTATACAGAAAATTTCAGAGAAAAACTAGAAGTGATAAGTTTAAAGCGTTCATCTAGATCTTATTGCTCTTATATATAACGTGGCACGTGACAAGCTTTTATCCCAGGGTACATTGCAGCCACTTGACTTATTTGCTGTTGAATAAAGTATCATGTCAAAGGGGTTGAAACTAATCTATCCTAAGAAAAAACAAATAATGTACAACAAAAATTATATATACACTCAATGTTTTCATATTAATATGTTAAAGAATACTGATACAATGTAGATTTTCTGGGTCTGCATTCTTACACTACAATTTTTTATGCACTTATATTTTCAAAAATCTTCTAAAAGAAATAAAGAAACAAATATGATCTTTATATAATATTATTTTTAAGCCGCAGAAACGATTATTAACATTATTATAATAATTACAAGTACTATACAAATTTTAGTTTTCCTAAATATGCCCAGTCTGCTTATCAATTTTATAAAACAAAATACTTATGAAATATTATAAGGTACAAAGCGTATTCACTTCACTTTTACATATTTCCACTTCTCTATGAAAGTAATGTGAATTCATTTCTTTTACAGTTGCGTTCAGGAGGATGGTCAATTGGGGAAAAGAGTTGGGGAACATGTACATTATTTGGGTAGGCATGCGTCCCTTCATCACAATTTCCAGCATAGAATCGATCCAACCAATATTGACCAGCAGCGTTCACATTAACAAAAGTCTGGAATACGAGTATCTACAACCTTGGCTTGGCACTGGCCTGCTGACTAGCGCCGGTGAGTATAAAAAACAACCTGTGTAATTTTATTGTTTCCCCGATTACTTACAATTGCTAATTTTTTTCCATGAGATTTATGATTTTGTGCTTGAAACGCTTCCCACGCGACAGGAATAACAAGCACTTACGAACAACATTGTTGCATTTGAATTTCATTTCTGACATCGTCGTCACTCGTAAATTTCCGAGTCACGCAGTCATTGGTGTTAGTTTTACAGAAGACGCAAGACAAAATAATCATCAGTAGCTAACCAGTGAACGCTATAAGAACAATATTTATACTAAATATTTTATAATGAAATATTTAATATTGAATATTGAATATTGAAATATTTTAACTTTATTAAATATTAAATATTAAATATTAAATATTAAATATTTATATAACCGTAACCGGTTAGTCATTAGTACAGTTACCTTACGTCAGTCGAATATTTGAACGGCATCGGATTACAGAAATCACGGAACGTAATCGGAGCTTTACCTGTCCGATAAAGACACAAGAAGAAAAAAAAAGAAATACTCACAAGAACCGGACAGAATTGGCTCGACATTTTTTTTCGCCTGTCATTTATTTCCGCTGACTATTTTCGTCCGTAGCATACCAGGATTTTTTTAGCATCAACTAGAAGCCGATAGTCACGGTAATGACTAGCGTTTAGATATTCCACTAATGCCGCGACATTCCTCGATGCCCTGAACGATCTGTATCAATTTTAAATTGTGCGCATAACGCACGACGCATACTGTGCTCATCCAACTAATTTATCCGCCCGTGTTGGCTTCTACGTTTACAGTATTTACGTATAAATTATCGTGCGCGAATGCAACGTGAATACAAAACGTTGCGGAATGATTACGAATCACTTCTAAGATTTGTAGCAATTCGTGAATGAAAAAGTATGCAAACGGAAAGTGTTTTTATTCAAATTCATGTTTGAACGCTGCCTGACTCATTGCTATTGCGTCGAAAGGAATGAGGTATTGTCATCTTTTATCTAGTATAATACGAGAACCTGTTTCCATGTTTTCTGATACTTTAAGGATTTTGTTAATTAATTAGACACGAGTCTATTGTGTATTTATATCGATAGTCACTCTTCTCGGCGTTTTGCAAATCTTTAGAGAAATATCGTAAATTTAACAATTGACGTTTGTAAATTTGTCTGTTTATATAATTAATATTGTGAATATGAAATCCTTGTATAGAAAGCTTGATTAATTTAAATATCGAGTTTCTTAATTAAGCGGTTAAGTCTATAAATGATAACTATGAATTTAAGGAATTAGATAATCTATGAAAGATATATTGCGATGTATCGCATTATGTTCTAGGTGAGAAATGGCACTCTCGAAGAAAATTATTGACAACTACGTTCCACAGTGGCCTCTTAGAAACGTACTACAAAACAGTGGTCCAAGAAGCTAGAATATTGATATCCTGTATAAAACAAGAAATTGGCAAACCTTTTGATATTATACCATACGCAAAACGAGCAACTTTAGATATAATATGTGGTAAGTGCACTCACTTCTTAAACTACAGCAAACATAATAAATAGAAATACTGTGCAAATTACAGCAAATATCGTAAATAGAAATATTGTTCAAACTACAGCAAACATAGTAAATAGAAATATTCTTCAAACTACAGTAAACATAATATATAGAAATACTCTTCAAGCTACAGCAAACGTAATAAATAAAAATACTGTTCAAACTACAACAAACATAGAAAATGGTAATACTGTTGAAACTGCAGTAAAAATAGTAAATAGAAATACTCTTCAAACTACAGCAAACAAAATAAATAGAAATGTAAAATGACATTTTTTAAACTTCAGTTTAATGAACTGTTTGACTGTCAAGAGTTAAAATGTAAGAGTTTAAAGTTTGCTTTTAGAAACCCGCTTCACTGAAGTCCGATAAAGGAATATACGAAAATGACAGTCGTCGATTTTCATCAAACTTTGTTAGAAAGGCATTTCTGTTTATCGTACACATCGATGGGATGAAAACTTCCCTTAAAGTGGGGGAGGGGAGGGGGTAGAGACTGATTTGCTCGAATATCTTCAAAACTACATAATGGGACTAGAAGAAGTTCAATTGAAGCTTATATAAATCTTCGGAAAAAAATGCTGGTCATGTTTGCACATTAGTTCTGCTGGAAAGAACAAATTATGCCAGTACGCGTTTGCAATTACGAATTTACATTGACGACTTAACAAGTGTTATGTAATCTCATTCATTATCCATTTTGTCTTCGTCGCTAATCAGTAGTGAATCATGAAGCTCTCTAGTAATAATCAATGTGAATTTACAAGTGCATATGTTTACACAAACGTGGCATAATCATTGCAATACATTAACAACCGTATTACGTTTTATTTCCTGTTTCTATTACCTAAATTGCCATTTTATTTATGAACTTCCAACAGACAAAACAAATTAATGCAAATGATATGTAGAGTTTATACGTAAACATTATGCGTTAATAGACGATTAATTAATTTTAACTTTAGAAAGAGACAAATGTTTATTTCCATATTCAATACGGTACTATTACACAATACAGACTGTTTATATAGTGATATCGGCTTGTGAACTCGCGTGGATACCTTGTTACAATTTATAAATACAGTTCAGGTAAATGTTATATCGCTAACGAACTAGTTAAGATTATATACATGTTTAATATTAAACATTAATATTAATTTATTATAATGTTTAATATTAAACTGATATTAATATTAATAATAAAAATTATAATATTTATTATTTAATGTGAATATTTACTATAAAATATTTAATACTTAATGCAAATATTTAATACAGATATTTAATACTAATACACATTTATATATAGTCTTGACTAGTTAGTTATTGGTAAGCACATTTACCTTAACAGGCATGGCTCACTCCAACATGTTCCTTAATCTTTCACGATACACTTTTTGACTTATTTTTGGACTTTAAGTCGACTACGATGATAGTTCTGTCCGAATCTGACGTTTTCGGTAGACAACGTTTTTCTCTTGTTATTTTTCTCCTCTTCGTCCTCCGATAATTCCTTCCATTCTCGTGACTTTGCTTCTTCTTTGCATGTTTCGTGTAGAACCTATAGTAATACGATTTGTTTTTGGAAAAGACGGTTATCTGTTTAATCCGTTTATATGTGTATGTAAAATATTTGTGAAACTTTTGACCTTCTTTATATCATTTCTACGCAAAAAAAAATATGCAATGCCTATCAATATTCATTTGATATAAGTAGTAATTTTAAATGAAACCTTTGTAGAATAAAATTCATGAATTTCCCAAATTTTAAGTTTATATATGATCGAAAGACACAATTAAAATGAAATTGATGGTTGAACATGAATATTGTTTTGCACTTTAAAATATCATGGTTCTATAGTTTCAGATTGAAGATTGCTAACAGAATTTCTATTACTGATAAGGAGTTAATACAATGTCCACATAAGTGTTACACTTCTTGCACATCCTTTCATTTAATGGTGATAAAATTTGCTTCCATAAAATTATCATAATTACCGTGATTTGCTCCCATACAACTTCTTCCTTCTCTTGACCTTCACCTTCCGTTTCTTTTTTGGTCTTGATAACTCAATTATACGCCGGCTAGCTATAAAAATCATTGCTCTTTCAAATTATTCAGTTGTAAATGTTGACTAATCGTCATACAGAATTAATGAATTTTACTATTACTAGTTATCATTTAATCATTCACTCCTGTACATTATTATTCGCACATGCATATTAGTTGAACAGATTTCAACAACTGTAACACGTATTCTATTTGATTAATACAGTAATTTAAAATTATTCAAACATTATATACACCTGTGCTCATTTTCATCGTGAACATCTTACCAATCAATATATCAAACTTCCATAAAAATGGAGTAAAACATAAGGAAATTCTTAAAATACACGAATCATTGTTATATGAATATATTTACCTTTAACTATTAATGCCGTAATACAATTTACTGATTAAGGCTTGTAAAAATGAGGAATTTTCAATTATTTCAATATAATATCATTAAAAATTCCGAGAAATTATTGCATTACGTTTGAAGAAAGTGTAGGGAACAGTATATCGATTTTGAGATCTCGTCAACCCCTTGGCCTATCATTTCTTTCTCAACTCTGATCGATACGGCTACTTTGTCATTAATAATTTATTGGAAAAAGAAAAAAATTCTAACCACATGTCATGCCTATATTTCCTTTTAAGTATAAGAGTCTCACTCGTTATTGTAGGACAAGGGGTTAATAAGGGTTTCTTTACAGCAAAATGCGAACCAACTGCTTGAAGGGCACCAGGTGAAACGTATCCAATCGGTTTCGAGGGTTGTTGATACGTTAATCGAGGTTGCGAGAGCTTAATGACGCGCTGAGAAGCCTTCGGAATTTCCACTGCAGTCAAACGCGTTTGAAATTTCTTTTCGTCGACCGCACGAACACGTGGTTGAGCCAATTGATTAGTGCGTTCGGTTATTTCATACAGCAGTGCTGATAGTTTCACCTGATATAAAAATGAACAAGCAGTCTTAAGATTGCATAAAGATTTTTTCACGGGAAAAAGTAGACTACAGATTATAAATTATTACTATACGTTATCAGTCAGTGACGGCTCGTAGCGAAGAATAGTGGGGGTGCTGCTCCAGAAAATGTTTAGGCTTTGCTTTAAAATGTTTACATCTTTTTCATAAACTTGAAGATGGCTACTGACGTTAAGGATTATATATTATATGAGTATAAAGAAAGAATTAAAGAAAAAAGGACACATTATATTAAATGTTATCGATAATATTAAGTGGAAATTCGGGGTGCTGAAGTTTCACAGTGCCTATATACGAGCTGCCACTGCTATCAGTGTATGAATTATAAAAATATTATATATTATTCAGTATTATAAATCTATGATATTATAAATATGACATAAATTTAAGTAATATAAGAAGGAAGATAAATGATATGCATATTTTTTATCAGAGTTAATTAGTGTTGAAGAAAGTTAGGGAAACTAATATCCAAGAAAATGACAACTACAATAATTTCTGAAACACAAATATTCATTAACACGTTGAATATCATGGGAGTCACCGGTGACCCTCAACCAAATCGAATTACTATAGTTCACTCACTTAAACCATGATTGTTTGAAAAGATTTCTATATCATAAATAATGTTAGCTAATGTAGTGACGTTCAGCTAGGTGAACCTGCAATAATAACAATGCAATTCAATCAAAGGATTTAATATTATATTTTTTCCATTTCGAGTATTTTTTACTATGAAATCGTGCGGCATTCAACGTGTTAATGAAATTCGTGAATTTTTCTCTGGAAAAAAGTAGTCTCAAAAGGAGTGCAAGAAAATGTGAAAACGTATTGTAAAGAAAGTAACATAGGGAATTATAAATTCGAACAAAATGATCAGTAATTAACGTAAACTATTATAGAAGCAGAATTTATATTCATACGTGACTAGGTTCTACAAATATATCTTTGTGGTCTTTGATTAATTTCACATTTGCAGTTTTCGGTTGCATGTTCAGCGATCTTCTCTGCGACGAGTGTTTCGAAGATTGAATTGGACAATATTTTAAAGTTGGCTTATCGTTTGATTTCTCTACGAGTTTGACAGTCGAGGATAATTTTCGTTTAACTGAATCTGTTTTACCGGTGGCAATTACCGATTCGTCTGATTCCCAATGTTGAGTGATCAATAATTTAGCCATTAATCATTGAATCCCTATTACTCAAAGAATTTTTCAACTCGAAATAATATGAATTTTCTTTTTTTCTATTTTATTTGACCAGTCATTTTACATGACAATTTTTTTTTTGTAATCATAAAAAAGTAGAAAGTATTTCATTGCCTCCTAAGAGTATAAACGAGTTTAGACATAAAATATATATTTTTGTACATAGAGGAAATAATCAAGAATAATGAGCATAACCAATTTTTAAAAAGGTTACTCTTTCCAAAGACATTAGTAAATAATTCATAAACTATGTATAGATATAACATGCTTCAGACTAAAAAATTGTTATATGAAACATTGGTTTCTGTTTTTATAATAATTTGAAAATCTACATTACTGTAAACTATATTTAGTTCCCTTGTAAGTTACTATACACGAAATAAAATATTGTGTTGCGAAATATCATTACAAACGTTCTACAAATGTTTTCGTTATACTTTATTCAAATCAGAAATTTCATTGCAGAGAGCTCCATGGGATGCCGTGTCAACGCGCAAAGAGATTTGAACAACGAATACGTGGAAGCTGTGAATATGTAAGTGTATTTACGTTGAACGCTGCGTGATTTCATAGAGCAAAATATTGGAACTGAAAAAAATATAATATTAAATCATTTGATGAAATTGCATTGTTATTATTGCAAGTTCATCTAGCTGAATGTCACCACATTAACTAGCACTATTTATAATATAGAAATAATATTTATCTATAATATAGGTATATTATTATGTATAATATAAAAATATAGAAATGTGTTTTTCAACGTATTAATTGCTGTAGAAAATAAATAGTACTTAGTAGTAAAGATGTTTATTCAAACCATCTTATATTTTAGTTAGACGAAATAATATTTCAAACAAACAAATATTCATTACACAGGCAATACGATTTATTTTTAATATCCTATTCCTTCCACAGACTGGCAGAAATTTCGCAAAGAAGATTTTTAAATGTGTGGTTGGCTTTAGAGGCGATCTTCAAATTGACAGTTTGGGGGAAACAGCAGCAGCATGCGTTGCATATTATTCATAAATTTGTTAATAAAGTAAATATTTTCATTTCTTCCTATTTATTCCGATAAAATGCAAGTGAAGCAGCAAATAACGTAACGGGTAATTATTATACACATGACATTTTTACTTATAGATAATTGTAGAAAGAAAAGCCCAAAGGAAAATGCAGCAAGGAAACGTCGACGAAAAGTCTACTAAATATCAGGCTTTATTAGATCTGCTGTTAGACGTGTCGGAAGATGGCAAAGTGCTCACTGATAACGACATTCAGGATGAGGTGAATACGTTCATGTTTGCTGGCCACGATACAACAGCGACCAGCGTATCTTGGGTCCTTTATGCATTGGGGCGTTATCCGGAGTATCAGGTAACATAAACATGCATCGTATAAATTACTTTGAAGCCTGTTTAAAAATATAGAAGCATGTGTATTGGATTTGAACAATGAATTCTCAGAAGGAATTTAAATAGAAGATTTATTAAAAGAAATAGTAATATTAAGTTAATGAAATTATTTATGAAATTCGTGAAAAATTATTTAAATATTAATAGACTGAATTGACTGAAGAAAGATTTAACCAATCAATCAATTTATTAATATATTTATCATTGCAGGATAAGATTCTTGATGAGTATTATAACGTAGTCGGAACAAAAGAACCATCACTTGACGCAATAAACAGATTAATATGGTTGGGAGCGTGTGTCAAAGAAACTATGAGGTTATACCCAGCGGTGCCACTTATAGCGAGGCAAATCTGCAGCCCTATATCTCTGTGTAAATATCAATGCATTTATCAAAGCATATTACGTCTCGCATTTTTCATTGAAGTTTCTTGGTAATTCATTTATGCATGTGTCATGAATATGTTTTCCAGTAAAATTTACTATTTACATAAAATATAGCATAACATAATTTATTTACATAAGAAAACATAGCATAAAATAATTTATTTACCTCAAAAAATATAGCATAAAATAATTTATTTACACAAGAAAATGTAACAGAAATTTGTTATGTATATAGAACTGCTTTGTTTGTTTCTAGGTGGAAACGATATCCCAGTAGGCTCCACTATGCTCATCAACTTGTTTCTTCTCCATCGCGATCCACAATCTTTTTCGGAGCCTAACGCATACCAGCCGGAACGATTTCTTCCCGACGGGCCAAAATATCCTCCCTTCGCTTTCATCCCCTTCAGCGCAGGCTCACGGAATTGCATAGGATGGAAATATGCTACGATGATGGTAAAAACTATCGTTTTATTAGTATTAAGGGAGTTCCATGTGGAGGCATTGGACTCCGAAGATCAGCTTCACTTTACAAGCGAATTGGTGCTACAAACCACTAACGGACTGCGGCTGAAAATTACTCCGAGAATACAGAAAACTGTTGCTTAGAATGTTTAACGTGTCTCACTCGAACCACGTCTTTCATGTGCACCCATAGAAACGCACAGATACGGCATTCGTCGAGACTTTTGATTTTCTGAATGCAGAGGTCAAAGTGCGTGCACATTACCGCGATTTTGTTTCATTCAATCTGCGTTTGATATCTTTGGCGTAACTGGATGAGGAAGTCCTAGTTGAATAATAACGAACAAAACCGTTATCATTACGATTACCAAGTACAGTTTAACACTAGAACTACACTAGAACATATTTGTGGCGACCGTAATTCTATATTTTACATAATGAAAATGAAATTAACCCTTTGCACTCGAGAGGTGACTCTCACTCACCGCTTGATTTCATACGGTAAAACTATAAAATTTGATATTTAATATTATACCACGTATAATGCATCAATTTGGGAAATATTGATATAAAATAGCTTTGTTCCTCGATGTACGTGTGATTTTTCTTCGAGTTAATTTCACAAAATGTCGTCTTTATTTCATCATCAACTGTTAAAGTATTTATAGTGAAAAACTGTCGAGTGCAAAGGATTAATTCTATAGATCTTGTTATTAGAAATTATAAACTACGACATTATATTTAGGAATTCAATGACTCGTTTCAGTTTCATTTTTCTAATATCGTTGTTTAGAAGGTTTATTGGATTGAAGAAAATATTATAATATTGAATATTCGAAATGATCTTAAAAATAAGTTGTTTCGTTTGAATACTATAATGAACACCTGAAGAAACTGAAAATAATCTACTATTACAATTTTTATAGGGATTACATATTAATCGTGTTAAATGCTCGGTAGTTCTAGTGTTAAAAGAGTTTAAATTGTTTCTTTTCTATAGAAATTCATGGAGCAGTAATTATTTACTTATTACACGAATATATTGAAGGTAACGCCTCGAACAACCTTTATGTCTATGCAAGTGTATACGTCTGCCTTTGTTTCTTCATATACTTTGTTTTTCTGAAAGTGATGCCGTAAGTAGTTAGCCTCAGTCGTTAAATATATTTACACGCAATGAATGAGTAAATGATCAACGACGTCAGATATCAGCAGTCGGTAATCGCAAGTCTTACAGTTTATTACTTTATCTTAATACGCAGTTCCCTACAAAGTAACTTCGTCTGTAACAATAGGCTTATTTCTACTTAATTATGTAATTATTTAAAACTGAGAAGCGAAGATACGTGTCGTTGAGTTAATAACAATTAATTCTTGTTAGCAACCGATTTGTAATAATTATTGTATTAAAAGGCTGACACTCTATGCATATCATTTGATGGTTTGAAATTAGGAACATCATAAGTTTTATAAGAATAATAATCGAATTATTCGTCATGTTCATTTAAAGCGAATCAATAGTTTTAGGATCAATAGTTTAATAAGATTAAAACAGTGATAACAATTACATATGTTGTTCCCGATATTATGTACAGACTTATTATTTTTTAATTGTATTATAGCATATTGTCTCATTAGTGAAAATTTAATACACGATATTATAGATAATTGTGTAGTGAAATGATTGTCTACAACGAAAAAGAACTATCTTCCACAGTTTACTCTGTTCGTGTGTATTTTATACCTTTCCCCAACTAAACTTCTAAATTTTCTTATAAAAGATTTAAAATTAAAAAAATTAAACATCATCGTCGATGCGTAACCTCCGAACTCGTGACAAAAATTTCCATTATTAGTTCAGTTTATGTTATCTCTCGTCGGTGCTTCAGATTTTCAATTCAGCCGGTATTAGTTTCTCAACTGACGATTTATAAAGAATCGAAGGGTGTTGAAAGTAATTTTATCATGTCATGGAAACATCGAGTTATTACATTACGAACAAGCAATATTGTAGATATTACTACTTCATTATAATATTTGAAGTTTCATAATCAGTTATTATAATATTTTTTATACAAAAAATGAAAATAATACTTTTTATTATGATTTTTTCTTAATATTGCTTGTTGTGAATTGTTTTTTCTATTTAACTTGGAGATCCTTAATGTTATATAAATAATGATAATAGAGTTCATTAATTAAGTTGTTATAAAGCTGTCTAGTTTTAACTAATTTAAACACATTTAAATCTATATATAATCAAAATAGTGTATCAATACGATTTTGTTATGTGACGCGATAATAATCATTGCATTTGTTACACACAATCATTCAACAGTATTTACAATTTTGATTATGGCTTTCCACAACAAAAATTTTAAATATTTGCGTGACACATTAATTTACACATAGAATTTGAATTATTTTTCCACGTGGATCAGACTCGCAGTCATTCCATCTCTGAATCCTCTCGTAATATTTAATGTGATTTTCAAGCAGAGAAGTGTTAATGAGAAGAGAGGATTAGATGCGATGAAAAATGAAAGTCTTAATTGACATAAATCTATGCCAATCTTTGAAAGAATATGCAGGAAATTTGTTGAAAATGAAACTAAAATCATTATAAATCAATAGAAAAAATATCTTCATTCAAATATCCTTACTGCACCTTTAGTATTATTATTATTTATCAGCATACCATCTATTAGTAGTTATTTTCCGAATAATAATTATTATTATGCAAAAACTACACGATGACATAAAACGTTCTTCAAAATTACAATCACGTAACATTTATTACAATTATTAAAATTATTATACCGAACATTTGCGAATATGTTTTCGATAATCGTTAATCGATCGTGAATTTCATGGAACCATAGCATCTCATATTTCATATATTATAAAATTCTATAAAATAAAATCTGGAATAATATTCAATTATTTATTTCCATTGAAATATGATGAGACTTTTAGTTTCATCTCATTTTTATTCCATTTTCGTTCCATCACCAGTTTCTAAATAAAAGTCCACAAAAATCGATAACCATAGAAATATTCTTAACGCATTCGTAAAAAACGAACACACTCTGTACCACTAACAGCATCTCTTCATTTTATCCTGTACTCATTTGCGTACAGTACACTCCTCTATAATGCGTTTAAAAAATTCCTTGTTATACAAATTTACAGATGTCCCGTTAAATCCCGCCGACGTCGCCTTTTGGATTCTGATTCTTCTTCCTTTGCTTGGATCGGCAAGAAAGTAATCTTGGTTTCTTTCAACTTAATTCTTAATTTTTTTTGTAAACAAAATTACACGAAATTTCTTTCTATAGTGACCTAAAAGTGTCGACTACCAAATTTCAAAACAAACAATTATTTCATTGACAGAAGAATAACGAAACGAATAACGCTATCTATTTGTGCAAACCGAAATTACTTGCTTGCCAACCTATTATCCTTCCGCTTTCATGGTTATTATTCAGCAACATTTAAACTGCTTTATAAGGGTACCTACTATAACGCAGTGTTCGGTTAACAGATTGCGTGCGGGTTATTTTGTTCATTTCAATTTGTATCAGTTACATTTAATTCATTTATTTATCATTGAATGTTTCCGAGAGTTTCCATTGCAAATAGAAATACTTGCAATCATTTGCGAAAGGAATCAACTATCTACTTTTATCAAAAATGTTAATGAAGTTGTACAAGTATTTATTTAACCAGTTAAGTGTGGAATTTAATTTGAAAAATCTTTCATTGTGCGCGCAATAAAATCAAATAATGAAGCGTGAACTCATTAAATGCAGGCCAAATGCACTTAAAATATATCCTAACGAAAAACTACAGCGAGACGAAGAGGAATTACATGTTTGTCTCAAAAAATAAATAATCCATCGTTGAAAAAGTTAGCATCATTAAGAGTTTTAAGATAACGTGTATACTCGTCAAACACAGTTAACTGGTTAATACTATTTGACGGTACATGGAAATAGTACTTTTACGTTTCTCGCATACAATGTGTTAACAGAAGTGAGAAACCTATCGCATCGCTGCTAAAGACAATGCAAAACGGATGAACAGATATTTCAGAAACGAAAGGCAAAGCCATATCGTCGCAATAGCTAAATACAAGGCAGTGATCATTCCACGGGTCAGCCAGCGTGAAGAAAGGAAAAATATCGCGGGGTCCGCGTTACGAGCTGTGAAATATCGATATAAAAAGGGAATGAAGTCCATTATATCCGGGGGCGACAATATAAGGGGTGACGTTACGACGGAAAGTTGTGAGCCAAGCAATTTCGTTCTTAGGACGCTGTATTACAGCGCTGAATAAATCTTGAGCTAGCTACCTTACTCCGCGGACCTACTTAGAGATTATTATCAGTTACGATACGTGACAAAGTGCAAACCGTATCCCGCTTTCCTGAGCTTCCCTTGGCGATAAACTGAACATGCAAGATTACATGCTCGCCAGGCGATCAATTAGGGAGCTGTTTTCTACGTATTGATATACTTTCTTTGTAATCTGTAACTTCTTATGGGATTTTAAGTAGGTAAAAGGATATTCAGATTGGGAGGAAAGGTTTTCTTACTGTGAGACGATTGAAGTTTGTATGGAGAACATTGTGAGGGTATATTAACCCTTTGCACTTGAGGGGTGACTCTCATCATTTGATTTCAGGCAGTAAAACTATCAAATTTGATATTTAACCCTTTGCACTTGAAAAGCGACTCTCAGTCGCCACTTGAATGAACGAAGCAAAATTATAAAATAAAAGATTCAACATAAAATGTTGAATAAGGTATTAACACATGAAACAGAAATAAAACAATTCTGCCTCACAATTTATGCAAGATGTTTCTTTATGTAAGTTGTAAATAATATTGTTAATAATCGTCAGAAAATCATGAATGTTTGTAATGAAGAATATTGTTGAGTGCAAAGGGTTAATATTATACTGTGTATAATGTATCAATTTGAGAAATATTGAAATAAAATAGATTTGTTCCTCAATGCACGTGTGATTTCTCTTTGAGTTAATTTCACAAAATATCGTCTTTACCTCGTCAGAAAAAGTTAAATATTTCTAGTGAGAAACTTCCGAGTGCAAAAGGTTAATATTACGTTACTTGTACGTTGGGAAATCATTTTTTCATTTGAAAAGTGATTGATTGTTTGGCGTGATTACATGCACCTACAGGAATCATTTTAAAAGGAAAATGTACTTTTGTACAAGTACAAAGTAATAATAGAAATAAAATGACGAAGCTGTTTGTTAATTCATACAGGAGTATTATTCTTTTTCGTTGCCTCTTCTTTAGAATTTATGCATTCCTTCTAATAAATGGAAATATAAATAATTATATGACGATTAGCAGGAATTTAAAGTTTAAGTTTGATTTTTCAAAGGATGTTAATGAATAAAAGAAAAGAGAACGGAGTGTTATGAATTTCATTGGTATTCCGAGGATCCTTTTCCCAATGCCACCCTAAATTTTCTAAAGTGACGACTGGTCTCCAGGTGGCAATTGTAAACTTCAGAAATCACAGATTGCAATCATGCAGAAACTTCTCTAGTGATTATAATGTTGATATGAAAACCAGCTTTGCGCTTCGAAAGTTTTTATTGTTCTTCTCTCTTTCATTTCTGTTACTTGATTCTAGATGCAACTGGAAATTTTACCAAGAACGACGAAGCAAGCTTGAAATGAAAATTGCGATTTCAGACCGAACGCGCATGAAAAATTTACTTTCTTCTCATTCATTCGAAAGTGAGTATTAATGGAAATCTTGAATTGT